ACGATGTGACACCCGTGTATGAGGTCTTGGGTTTCTTGAAGGGTGGTTCTCTTTGTACGTGCCATTGATTTGAGGCTTGGAGTGGTTGTTATTTTTGTACTTGTGTTTGATTGAAATTCTCGATGAGTTGTTTATAATGCGGTAATCACAATACAAAAATCTGTCAGAAAGAAATAAGAAATCTGTCAAAATTCGAAATGAAAATCTGCTGGATTCACTAGCCAATGAAAATGAATATGTGATACGGAATTGTCAACAATATAGAAAAATCGAATCAAGTTGAAAAATACATTTGCTCTCATATATTGCAGACCCATAGCCAAGAGGGAGGGGGTTGGGGGAGAGACGCTCGCCCCAGGCCAGAAATTCTTTCAAAACCATGCACTTTTCACCATTTTTCGCACTTTTCGCATGGTTTTGTCCGCAAAACTGTCAAAGCGTTCCCTCTTTGGCAAACGCCTTTGTAAAAGCTGGCTACGAGCAAGTATTACTAAACTAATCTTTGGAGATATGCATATCCCTTTTCTCTAATTCTGAGGGTAATTTGTAATTCTTCCATGATCATTTGTTTGCTCTTCAGGTGTAGAGGGGACTGCGTATGCACGCAGATGGCCATCATGATAAACCATGGCATCTCATTTCTTCTCAGCCCTGAGATGCTCAGGTGAAACTGAAATATGCTATGAGTATCAGAATGGTAGATGGCTTGTAAGCACTTAATGTATTTATAATTTTTTTTCTTTCACAGCGTTCTTGCTTCTTTTCATTTATTTATTAGTGTATCTCACTTCGTTTAATTCTCTTTATGTTTAGATGATTATATAATTAGTGGAAATTGTGACTCGTATATTTCTAAAAGTCGTTTATTCAATGCGTATCTGGGGAATCATGGGAATACAACGCACGGTAATGTTCAAGGCCAAGGTCAAATTGTATATATTCGACCAATGGACAAATAATGTACGAACTTATGTGTCGTAAACATGATCGAATAACTTTAGTTTTGAAATCGACTCAAAACCCATATAATCAATAATATTGTTTTACTCTAAATTATTGGTACATTCCTTTCTCATACTCTCTGTAACTGATAAAAGTCTGCCAGGTACTCTTCATCTTTAGATGGAAACTGATAGATCTATTCAAATTTATTCAGCGATTTATGTAAAAATCGGCACATATATAAGGGTTATGTACTGGGAGGTTTTGGATATGGGGTTTATCCAGAGGGAGATATGCATATCTACCTGAGGGACCGTAGGGACCGAAGGTAGATGTGCATATTTCACGAGGGATGAACCCTATATCCAAACCGACCGTACATAACTGCTTTATCCTATACCAAGTTGAGTTTTCAGGGGCATATGGCCATTTCAATAGTACAAGGTGTAAAAATTAACAAATCATTCATATACAAAGTCATTTTATTGCATTACCGGAAGCGGGAAGATATGCACCGGAAGCGGGAAGATATGCACCGAAGCGGGAGATATGGAGGTTCTGGATATGGAAATCTCAAAATCAGGATACGGGATATATCTTACCAACTTATCTCCCTAAAACTCTACTTGGCATAGGATAAATATATTTACCGTATTACATGTGTATGAGTATGTCTTGAGTTCTTGAGGAGTGGTTCTCTTTGAGGCCTCTGCATTCTCAACTGAGAAGACTGACTTATGGGTAGGATCAAACAGATCGTACAACCTGTTTATGTGTGCCGTTACACTGTATGCCAAGTAATTTATATCTTCTGCCCGTGAGATCTTGGCCTGGGCTGCTCATAAAATCTAATTTAAAGTTATGCTACCGCTTGACACACCTATTTGTAAATATCCTTGATCGATGTTCTAAATTCAGTAAAGAGCCAGTAAAGGTAAACCATACTAAGCACGTACATGGAAGAACGCTATTCTTGGTAAATATTCCCATTGAGTTAAGTATAATGGGGTAGGATTTCATCATCATTTATCTCCAATTTCATTATAATTGATGGTTTAGGAGGAGAACCACATATATGCAACTTAGCATTTGCTACAAATACGACTTAGTGTCATGTTCAGTGTCCCATAGTACCGTGTCTATACCCAAACCCCTACCCCAAGGTGTCCTGAGCCCTGTGAAGGTCTAACGTAATGGGGTTTACACCACAACGTCAGAAAATCCCCAAAGTGTTCTGAAAAACCTGTGAACCAACGCATAATGTCACGTGAATACACCCGTAAGGGCGAATTGCATTTTATAGGGACATTCTTTTTTGTTATTCAATACCATTGATAGTTTTTAACATCCGTTGTATTAAGTGGCATCATGCGCCTTGCCCTTGACTTACGTGTAAACAGGCAGGTAACAATTTATTAAAATAAGCCTCATTTCTGGCAACAGAGTCAAGTGGTCTATTTATTTGCAGTTCTAACGTTTCTAACAATATGTTCTTCACGTCGAGTGTGTTATATAACAGACTCCAGAATCCTACATATCTATGGTCGATTAGAAGTCAAAAAGATCGGAAGTATCTCTGAAAATGTCTAAACAAATCCATGATGGGGTTGATATTGCGCTGCGAAGTTTGTTGAGAAGAGATAAAATTGAGTCAATTGATGTCAAGAGAAAGGGGCAGAATATTCAACATTTACAAAATGTTCAGTTGTTGTAACCTCATGTCAGCCGAAGATGCCGAAAATTATTAGATTTTGGAAAATAGTAAAATAGTATTTACAACATCGCATGCGAAAATCCGATAGTAAAACGTGTATAGAGCTGTCCATACAAGCCATTGTGATCTGCATATTACTCTCCAAAATGGTCACCGAATGTGCCATTTGGACCACGTGTCAAAGCTGGTTTTATTTTAACCAATTCAATAATTTGATATTTCCTATCTATGGTAATTGAGGATTACATTTAAATTCCAAACAAAAACAAGCTTAAACATGCCATCCAATAGGGAGACAACGTTACTAATTTGGAGTTGAGTGTATTCAATTCTTCCAAATGAAAGGCTATCAGAATACAGCTTCTTCCTCTTTCTGAGACGAAACTCGCAATAGATGATTATGAGATGTTTAGCCTGCTTCCAGTGATATCTATAATCAAGTAATGTAATCAAGTATAATAATGAAAGATGTGGATAAGACGCAAGACAACAGTTTATCCCTATGCAATTGTTGTAGAATGTAACAATAAAATGATTTAACTATTTCACAAAGCATAATTTAGCTCGACGACTGACACACTATGGAAAGTAACATTAAGAGACTCATGGGGCCTTAAATTAGATTCTATAATTGTTACTGTTTATCAAGTTTTCACAGTTCCTTATTTGTGTAATATTAATTGGCAGGTCAAGTTTCAGATTAAGTTTTTAAGTATTCCAGGTACCAAAACATGCTTTCCTTGACGCCAGGTTCTGACAGAGTCTATGAATTATTTTAGCACAGCATTGCATCAAACAAATTAAGATAAAACAAAACAGCACCACAACCCAATAAAAAGCAAGCATATTTCATTGATAAAAGCATTCCCAAAGCGAGTTTGTCTGCTTGGGGAATGTTTTGATTGCCTGGTTTTTAGATCATAATTTATTTTCCTAATTCAGTATGGTCTTGTTAGTTCCTACACATGGGTGGTAAAACTAAGTACTCGATATATTGCATTGCATAATACAATATTGCATGTTTTAGCTACATTTTGCAAATGTTTTACAGTATAAAGCTAGGAGTGTAATTATAACTTAAAACATGTCAGATCATGGTTTTGGGATCTACTAATAGTAGGGTATACACTTAGAGTTTGCTTTTTTGAAGGTTTCTTTACAGTTTTTGATCCTTTCCCTTTGGTACGTGTGCTTAAATATTAAGGAAATGCTTGGATGATTGGAATGCTTGGAAATTATTCGCGTAACGTTTTTAGTGGCATTTAGTCTTTCTATTATTTATATTTCAAATATCAAATATTAGATTTTATTTATGTGCGTAGTTTCATTGTTATCTTAGGCTGGAGTCACTTGCTTTCCTTATCACAAGAGCATCTTAACATTTGTTACTTTTTCCATGCTACTTCAGCTATATCCACATTTTCGCCAACAATGCAGAATTCCATTTAATTATTCCCTTGTTGAAAATAATGCTATATTGTTTCTCGGTCTCCAATTATGCATTTAAAGGAAGGCAATGTTCAATTAAAGTCCCCGTCTGAAAAAAAGTTATGAGCATTTCATTTATGAAATATTCAAATTTCCCGCCATTTTTCAAAAAAAGTTGAAATTTTTTAATCATCAAATATTTCTTAATGCATTTCAAAAAAGATTATCTTTTTTAACACCAATGCAAAGATTGAACAAAGGGCACACTATTTCAATAATAAAATGCCATATTTAATAGGCCACTGACTTCAATGTTTTAGCATATCAAAAATATTTTGAAACATTAGTGATGTCACTAAGGTAGCAAAAACTTTTTGAAAAAAATGAAATTTTTTTTCGATGTCAATCTTTTCTCAATATGCTAGACTTCAATAATCAATCAATGTTGATTGTCTAATTAGGTTAAAAGGAAAAATATATTATGTTTTAGATAACATTGTACCATTGGTTTCAATGAGAACTGAAATTTTAAAATGCATTTTTCTCGGAACCATTTTCTTGCACTGATAAGTTCATTTTCTCGCTTATTTATGAACCGATTTTCTTAATTTTTGCGGCAAAAACATGCGAGGATGAATGCTATGCATTGGTATGAATTGTGGCTAATTAAAACATATATGTGACCTCTAAAAGTTAGTTTTAAATAAGTTCACAAATTTTGGGACAAAAAGTCTATCAAAAACCACTTTTTGAGATTAAAAAAAAAAGTTTCACATATCACACTTTGATAACATTGGGTAAGACTACAATATAAGCCAAAGTGGTTAAAACTTTATACGGGGACTTTAACAATCGTTAAGGATATTCACCCATGAAACCATTCCATCGAATAATTATTACATTTCTATAATTCCAGGTGAGTTCGATGAATGGGAAAGCTACAAAAACGCCTGGAATAGAGATACAAACAAGTTCAAAGATCGACTCTATCCTTTTGGTGAACAATATGGAGATGAGTTTGATCCAACACGAAATGTCCATGTTAACTTTGATTTACAAACAGATGTGCCATTCTTTGGACAAGTCTTCGATTCTGCTGTTGTGAGTGTACTCCAATACTTTCTTGACTCTTTAGTTACATGTACAGATATTTAGAAATCTGCAATAATTCAATTCGGGAAACCTGAACATGTTTTTGAAAGAACTTCTGTGTAAGCCCAACTATAAGTATACAAGCCTGTACGCCTCAGTTAAATTCTTCAATAGAGGGGTATTTTCACTCTGTTTGAACTTTGATGGAAAGATTCATTTCTAAATGTCAATAACTCGGATGCTGGTATGTAGTTGCCAGTTTCTTCACCAGGTGGCTAATTTGGTTAGATATATTGGTTAGACAGATATATAAGTTCCCTTAAACTTGAATATTCATTAATTCCATTTGATTGGTTTTCAAATTACCATTATGTATCCGATAGTATACAAATGAAAGTATTTCTAGTAAAACAAAGTATTTTCTATCCAATAAAACAAGTGATATTTTACTTTTTGTGATTTTTCAACAATTTATGAAACAACATTTCTCGATGTAATTTTACATGTAGATTTCAATTATGATTGAGTTTTGAATATCTAATGATGTAAATCCTGATTATTTCAACTCGCAACTAGTCTATCCGAACAGTTACATTCTCAAGAAACATAAAATTCCAATTATAATTTAAAGTAACTTTTTTCTTCAGATTACGAACCATGGTTACATTTCACTGAACACTACATTCAAAAGCTACAAATATCTGTCTAAAGGCTGGCCAAATAAGCAATGGCCGCACGATATGGATCCTCCTCTCATTGCTCCATATTACGCCAGAGTGGAAATAAGCGATGATTCGAGGCTCTGGTAAGTCAGAGTATCACTCCCTCCTCTCATTGCTCCATATTACGCCAGGGTGGATATAAGCGATGATTCGAGGCTCTGGTAAGTCAGAATATCACCCCCTCCTCTCATTGCTCCATATTACGCCAGAGTGGAAATAAGCGATGATTCGAGGCTCTGGTAAGTCAGAGTATCATTCCCTCCTCTCATTGCTCCATATTACGCCAGAGTGAAAATAAGCGATGATTCGAGGCTCTGGTAAGTCAGAATATCACCCCCTCCTCTCATTGCTCCATATTACGCCAGAGTGGAAATAAGCGATGATTCGAGGCTCTGGTAAGTCAGAGTATCATTCCCTCCTCTCATTGCTCCATATTACGCCAGAGTGGAAATAAGCGATGATTCGAGGCTCTGGTAAGTCAGACTATCATTCCCTCCTCTCATTGCTCCATATTACGCCAGAGTGGAAATAAGCGATGATTCGAGGCTCTGGTAAGTCAGAGTATCATTCCCTCCTCTCATTGCTCCATATTACGCCAGAGTGGAAATAAGCGATGATTCGAGGCTCTGGTAAGTCAGAATATCATTCCCTCCTCTCATTGCTCCATATTACGCCAGAGTGGAAATAAGCGATGATTCGAGGCTCTGGTAAGTCAGTCAGAATATCACTTACTTCTATAATTCAAGGTTTGCAGATATTTTTGAACTGATTTGGCACCATGTATGGCCTCATTAAGCATGCCTACACCTTAGTTCACATAGTGAGAGGTATTGCTCATTCAATTCTGCCTACTTTCAATCGCACTCAATGGCAGAATGGGCCACACAATCAATTCACTCGCACATCAGCATTCTATGCACTTTCAAGAGCTTGACTTGTCCAATGCATGAATATCTGTTCGAATGAATATCATTTTAATGTTTACAAAATGTATTCACCTGTATTTATTATTATGTTATGTAGGTATCGTCATTTCTACGAGGACATGTGGCCTGAGGACGGGCCAGTGCGAAAAGAACGAGATATCGCTAAAGAGATGTTGTTCGAGTTCTCGATAGAAGTCCGTGCTGCTGTAGTTGGGGCCGATTTATTCGTGGGCAAATATGGCTTCATAGTCACGTGGGAGAACGTTACGCATTCCCCAATTTGCAGAAGCGGACCGTGTCCGGTGAGCATGCGCATTAGTAATTTGCATGATGAGTATTCTCATGTCATTTCCAACTATATATTTGATGAAATGGGTAATATTGTGTTTCAAAATTTTAATGTGGATTTAATTCATTATTATGGAATAAAGAGTTCAAATTAAAAATAATTTGTTAAATATATTGTATAGCATATGTCTGATCTGTATATTCTGGCTTGACTATGCTCCTATACCAGCAGTATATGCCATCTTTATGACATTTATTCTTCTCTCGAGAAAAAAACACAAAGTAATATGGTATTGGAAGAAAGAATAGATGGCAGTGTGGTTGATTTATTTTTATGAACCGATGAGGCATTAACCCTAGAAGCCCTAAGGGGGGGTCAAAATGACCCCCCTGTGAAGTTTTTTCCCCATAACTTTTTATTGGCATCTGGCAGGGTCTTCAAATTTTCAGTAGCTGAAGCTACAGATATAAGACATGTTTTCTGAAAAAGTCAGCAGAATTGTACATAGGGTTACTGATTTATTATGATGTAATCATCAGCTGCAATAGACAAAATCGGAAAAAGCTAGCACTATTTCTACCATATGTGTTATTTTTCGAATAAGATTACACAATCTTCCATCATCATAGTTGTTAAAGTTATTACACCAAGTTGTAGATAATTGAATGAAGTATATTTTGGTAAAAGTTTGAACATCCTAGCTTTACTAATTTGTTATTTATTTATTATGATGTAATCGTCAGCTCCAATAGACAAAATCAGAAAAAAGCTAGCACTAATTCTACCATACGTGTTGTCTTAAGAATAAAATTACGCAATCTCACATCATCGTAGTTGTTAAAACTTTTATACCAAGTTGTAGATAATTGAATGAAGTATATGTGGAAAAAGTTTGAACATCCTAGCTCTACTAATAAAAATTTTACAAGGGGGGTGCCCTTTTGACCCCCCCTTAGGTGTTCGTGTGACTATTTTTACCTTAGGGCTTCTAGGGTTAAAGCAGATATGAAATGGTGTTTTTTAACCTAAAGGAATCAATATAATTTTTTGATAAATGTATTTGGACATGTTTTCTCATCAGTATTGCGAAAACTATTTCACTCTAACGATCGTTATAGCTGCTTAATAAGCAATATTCGAATTGGTTGTGACGTTATTGGCCCCCACGTGATCTCTCACTGGTCCCCACATGGCCCATAACGTCATAATGCCAAAATGTTTTGTTTTGGTTTACACAACAATACTATGGTTGCCGTGACGTTGTGATTACTAAGGAACCAATAAACCAAAGCTATATTTTGTATATGACGTTACTAATCACGTGGGGGCCAATTTGATTGATCAGTTAGTTTTATTTCGTTATTTATGACCGTTAGCAGTTATCTAACATTTATTTTATAATGACTATCGCAAGAACTCTACGTTGGGCTTACAATGGAGAAAACCGCATTTTTGTAGCTGCAAGTTGAGAAAAGCTATTTCAGTTGTCCTCCGTCCTGCAAGCTGGACAAGGGCCCGAGACCCCTAACTTCGCTGCAGTCGATGAACAAACGTCCTCAAACAGGTTGATTCCACTGCCATCTTTTTAACTAGTGGACATCTAATTTATATTCTTATTTAGTTCAAATGAGGATTCTACTTTATTACAGAGAAACACATTCCAAGCTGTTGTGGTGACCGACGGTAAAGAGACATATACTATCATTAACTACTGGAATTTAACATGGTCCGGAACAGGAGATGATAAAGGCGTAAATCCTGAATACAAGGCCCAGGTAAAACTAAGTATTTATTGGCGGAATAACCTGCTCGCTTTATAAGAATTTGTACCCATCTCAATTAGTTATTCAAGGGACCCAATAGCAACTATTTTCCTCTTACCTTCTTACTTAATCAGGAAATGTATATTTAGAAGGAGAGAGAATCCCTATAGGACCATAATATGCATACACATTCAATCACATATGCTTCACCTGTCTCACGCCTAGTTACATTTTGGTAGAAAGAATCTAAGAAAAATAAGAAATAGTTTCTGACTGGACACATCGAAATCAGTTCGATCGGTTCTATGTTTTTAATACGCCTTAAAACATTACATTCCTCGAACTGATGAATTGAGTTAATTGCCAGTTTGATTTAACGTATTTTGTTTGCTAGATGTTTCGAACAGTAATATATTTCCACAAGCTGAAAAAGCAATATTTAACATTTTCATTATTAGGCTGGATTCAACGCTGGTAATGGTACAGAATTTTACCCTTTGCCTTACTCTGGGACCAATGAAATTCTCCGATTGGCTACGTCAGCGGGATCCAATGTGACTGGGCGGTATATTTACAGAGTGGATGACGAAATCATCATCAAAGGAGGATGCACGAACGACACACAGGGTACGTCTCACAATGGTATGTTCATTATACCATAAATGATTGGTGTATTTGTTCTAACATAAACAAATGGTATGTTCATTATACCATAAATAATTGGTGTATTTGTTCTACCATTAACAAATGGTATGTTTATTGTACCATAAACAAATGGTATGTTTATTGTACCATAAACAAATGGTATGTTTATTGTTCCATTATAACTTATAACTACACATTCTCTCTCTCTCTCTCTCTCTCAAAGGTACGTTTATTGTGCCATAAATAAATGGTATGTTATTTCTACCATAGACAAATGGTACATGTATGTTTATTGAACCATAAACAAATGGTATGTTTATTGTATCCTAAGTAAATGGTATGGTCACTACACATTATGTTATGTAACGACACATGTGGCACTCCTCGAAATGGTATGTTTATTGTAGCAGAAATAATTGGTATGTTTATTGTTCCATTATATTATGGTTCCAACCATTATATCTACCTATGATTTTTTTATTCCAGCGTCCAGTATCTTAGAGATGTACCCTCGATTTGGAGGAATGATGGGCGGTGGGGAAGTTAACGTATCGGGGCCCTGCTTTGCACCAAATGACCGAATACTTTGCAAGTTTGGAGATAAGGTCGTAGAGGGTCAGTATATACACATGATGAGGGCGAGATGTATTCAACCAGCTCTAACTCAGAGAGGGTTAATAGATGTTGAACTGACCAATGGCAGACACCATAAACATAGGAATACATTCAATGTTGGTGAGTAATCTCGTTTAAAGTAAACATATTTGGATCGGCTTTGGTTTTCCAAATCTGCATATAGAGTTTAAAAGATAAGTTACGAATATGAATCATAGTATTGCATCGATCCCTTGTGTACCCCTTCCAAATAAACACCTTCTATACCTTGGATATAACTTAAGACTTAATGCAAAGACGTAATAACAAAGATTTAATGCAGGACAGAAAATACATGACACTTATATAAAGTATAGATATTTCTAAATTTTAGTAATGCTGGACAAAATACCCTATGGAGTAAGGCTTGATCCATTCGGGGATTGGGAGTCAACGGATCCTTATGCTCTTGTTATGCGATGGGATCGGATGGTTCTCACCCACCTCCCCTATAAGACTGTCAGCATAAAACTGTACGGTTACAGGGAAGCTAACGGAGAGGTAAACTATTTGTGTCAATTGTGCCCATAATTAGACTGCCAAAATAATTAAAGTTTTTTCTTTACTTTTAATAATTTTTTACTAAAGTATTAAAACTTGGGGCATGGTCAAAACAAAGAAAAGCAAACTAATAAAAGATACAGTAATAAATATCAATTGCACGGGGAGGGTGATGATAAATTTTTCATAAATCTCTATTTTTGTTATTTTTCATAAATTCTTCTGAAATCTCCAGAGAATGTGCTAAATGTTTTATATGTTTATATAAATATATTTTAAACCATGTAGCATTTGGTATATTTTATTCTAGGCAGTTTGGGAACTACTTATGACGCTAAGGACTGAGGAGTCAAACAATGGGGTCTTCACATTCTATCCCAGGGACCATAGATGCGACACCTATCACAAATGTGAAAGCTTTATGATTGGCGCTGTTGCAATTAGTCTTAATGATCAGTTCAAGGATCATCCAAAGTTAGTAAACGTATTATTTACATTTTTATTCCAACAATAACATTTTACCAAATTGAAGGTTGTGACATTTTCCCTTCCTCTCTTTTTCTAAATTCAACGAACCAGAGCTGTTTGTATGAGACAATATATAAAAGTACGATGTTGACCTTACATGTCAACATGCTCTGTTTTTCAGAACTATCTGGTCTCAGATCACTCCGCTTGGATGGTACGTTGGGCAGCATTGGAGAGAGAAGTGGGGCGAGGACTGGCCGGAGGATAAGTGCCTTGACTGGAAAAGAAACGAAAACAAGAACAGAACATGGTACCAGGTATGAAGATGTATTAAGAGTAATTCTATCCAGGATACCTATTGAATATGTATCTAAAGTCAGGATAGAAATTTTGTAACATTCCTGTCATCATGAATATTTGACAGAGCCCTTGAGGCAAAACGTTTTTAAGTAATTTTTAGTAATTCACGATATTCAAAATGAATCAAATGTGGCAAATCTTTCATTTTAGGAACTGCCCCCCTGTCCGTGTAGGTTGGAGCAGGCACTGGCGGATTTTGGACAGTGGCAGCCCTTTGACTTCTGCAGTATGTACAAAGAGGACAGTTGCTTGTACCACGACAAAAATATTAAACACTGTGTCATGACAACGTACCCATCGTGAGTAGAACACAACCGTCAAGGTTATTTCAATAAAAATTGCACCAGAACTGTTTGAAGCACATCACATCATTATTTATTTCATTTTACTCTATTGATGCAAATGATAGAATGAAATACAAATATGAATGCCATTCATCAATGAAGTTGAATATATTGAACCGAATCATTAAATTACATGTAACAATGCCCATCTATTCAAATTGCTTTATTATCTCGCACATCTCAGGTTCGCCCCTATGCGTCCACATGCTTTTGATGATGAACTATATATTTGACAAAGATAATAATTCGATCCCTCAAAATATTTTCAGCCACCATGGTTCTGGGAGTCAATGTTGTTATAACCATGACGGAGACCTCATGTCCACGTGTGACTCAGAAACAACCGGTATCCCCACTCGGAAACATCAGTTCGGATTGTACCCTTATAAGGTTGGGGACATACCCAATCTTTCCCACTGGCTGGAAGATAAACTACCCTACTATTATTGTTGTATGTGGAACGCTACCTGCTATAACTACATCAAACAGAGAGAAACAATGAACTGCTACTCCTACAATAACTCACGGCCAGGTGGGTAGAAATTCCACAGCATTAAATGCCATTTAGGACTAGAAGGCGATGAAATATACATACAAAACGATAATTGTGTTGATTTAATTTTAACCTCTGAAATGTCATTTTAGTATTCATAGTTTTAATTGAAATTGTTTAATACTTTTGTGCCCTTAATTTTATTGCTTCATTATTAGTACTATTATATCGAATGTTCTATTGTTTGTCATCGTTTATTCGTTTATACCTATGCGTAATTATTCCACATATTCCTACACTGTATGGATGTGTTTTATTTAACAGTCAAGCATTACACAGCATTTTTTCTATGATAACGGCCCCTGCCCCCCCCCCAACATTTCATATTTTTTACATTTGATGTTTGAAAATAAACCGGTCAATGGAAAGGAATTGACCGAATGCAATGGGATGGTCGTGACTTTGCTTTTTTCAAAATATATTTGCATTTGCTTACATGCGCTATATTGTCAAAGCAAAGAAAATTGTAAAATCGCCACATTTCTGTGTTATTCCAGCAACCGTGTACGGAGACCCTCATTTTGTTACCTTTGATGGAACAAAGTACATCTTCAATGGCAAGGGGGAATTCTGGTTGCTAAGGAACAAAGCTGTTGACTTCCGGCTACAGGGTCGTATGGAACAACCTCATAATAAAACGTGTAAGTTAAAATACAGGAGCGATCCAGATTTTGTGATAAGAATCTTATATTTCTTCATTTTGTGATTTATTTTTGGACGATGATATTTACACACATAAAGAGCAATAGGTTTGAGCATAGGGTGTAAATGTATTCTGCTGAGAGAAAATATCAGTGTGTCATTTCAAAATTTTGAAGATCTGAACCGCCCTTTGCATTTGGCACTTGGCGTCTTGAGCATTACATGTGAAAAAGAATGAAAATTGATATTGATGATTTTATAAAAGTGACTCTGTTTTCCCTGAACCCTCAATTTTCTCACATTTACTAAAATATTTTCAAAAAGTGGAAGTGTCGCCTCCTTGATTCATTGACTAAATGTTAAACATACCTCCGAAAGCTGAACACCCCCAAATAGAATACTATTGTCAATTACAGGAACAAGGCCAGCTTTTGCTCAATTTCAACAGAAAAATGCTAAATTGAATGAAACACCCTCCAAATTGTCGATTAGCTACTCTGAAAATGTTTCTTTCCAGTTGGTCGAGTAAGAGGAACGTTATTGACGTCTATAGCGATGCAGGAACTCAATTCTGCCAAAGTGGAAGTGCAACTGGGCATGTACACCGGGAGGAGGAAGTTAAGAGTCCTCGTAGACGATCAACTGAGACTTTTTGATGAAGTTGGGCGACGATGGCAGGACTACATGAGTGAGTTGACCAGTGGTTTGAAGAAAATATGGAATTCTTTTCCGTTTTATTCAACCCTGTTTGGACATTTCCACTGTGAATTTGCAAAGATATGAATTGCGATGGTATAAGTGTATATGGTTATGGTCATCTGTCTGATCTAATATTTCGGAGTATTGCATATTATGTTTATGTAGCTCCATTACAAAAGTACACATTGTTCTGTTTATTTTAGATGTCTCGATTGTGTGCAACGATGCCTCCGAGAATTTCACTCATTCTAACTTCACGATCTTGTTTCCGAGTGGGGTTGGAGTTAATGTAGCAGCGTTTGCGAGATCACTTCATGTCATAGTAGCGGCACCAGCTCACTATAAGGTACTATATACACTTGTAGTCAGTATACGTGTACATAAAATAACATTATACCATCAAGTTCGCATTATTTGTAGCTTCTATGTTTCATTTTGGTGTGAGGTTCCATATCCATCCGCCAAAAGGTATGACCCCAATATAGTCCATTTAAAAACCTTTGATTTTGTTCTAAATAACGCCATAGTTGGTTTCTAAGGTACCTAGCATGATATGATATGATATGATTCTTTATTTCCTCCAATTTGGAGAGCAAATTAATACAAATACAAATTATTAAATTACAATATATATTAAACATTAGAAACAATATATGGCGAAATGAGTAAGATAAAGTGATATTTGCTTACGACATGAATTCTTTAAGAATGTGGCTGATTTGATTGGCACAAAGGTTAATAAATAGTTGCCATTTCGCAAAATCGTAATTCTGTAATACATCTGAGCGACAACCCAATAAACATTCTACTAAGACATCCTCATTAATTTACTCAATAATTGTACTCGCACTTACTCCCAGTGTACAGCATATAATATGTTTTTCAATGATTTTGTTCATTCAAAATATTCAGAGATATAGGTTTAATTTCCAATGATTTTTGCTACATATCGGACTTGAGGATTGGTGGGGGTCTTTATACCCACGGGAGTCTCCTTTTTTGCGATTTTTTGTCACAGAATGAATTTACTTGTTTATTTGATCCATTGACGTGATATTTGTTGAATAATCATGTAAGCACTTTTATCCCACGATTAATGTGTTATCTGTACAATAACAGCCATTGATATTTCTGATATTATTGAAATCCGTGTGATATTTTCCAGAAAATCGTTTATCAAACTCATATGCGTGTGATATCGTTTATCTCACGCATATCAGTGTGATATCACATTTGCATTTCGCGCCACAATATTGTTGGAAATTAGGTCAGATAATTTATTCTCTTTTGAGAAAATAGGTCCGTTAATTTATTCTCTTTAAGTTTCATTGGTGTATTGAATTACGATTGTGTATATAATTTGATTAGAAGACTTAATAACGATTAAAAAATGGTATTTATGACGAACTATATCATGTACAGAAAGTAGTGCATATTACTGCGCAGTGAGTAAAGTACAAATCAAAATAGCCAGTGCAAATTCGTCTGACGAAGAATTGGCGAATTGTAATCATGGGATAAACCCAATGTCACATAATTTCTCGTGATATCATTTTATCGCCTCGTAGATATCAAATATCAACACTCATTCGCTTCGCTCACTCGTGTTGATATTTGATATCAACTTGGCGATAAAAATGATATCACTCAAAATGATGTGATATTCTGTATGTGTCAGAAGGATAATAACACTAATGGAAACAATGTCCGACAACTGCTAAGAGTCATTGTATATTTAAATGATAACAATTTTACCGTCAACCTGATGCATCATATTAATTTTAACCTTGAATGTTGAATAGCAACCAAAGTGCATACATACATTTGGTATATAAAATATAAAATCAATTCACAACTCGAGATATATAATTTATGATATATTCAAGGACATTCGACAGACATAAAATCAAACAATATGAAATCACGTACATTCTTATAATTGTAAAGGTAAATACCAATGGCTGCATTGGCCAGATTTTATTAAAATCTTGCAGTTCACTATTGGATAAATGTAATATTTCAAAGTTTTGATTTCGATAAAATTTCAGTTTTAATTTCCAATTTTCCCCAATATACAGGATGGGCCAAAAAACGCCACTTTTTTCAAAATGCTATAACTTTTTAATTTTTGATACATAATCATAATTTGCATACCAAATGAATCTTGAGGTTGTTATCTAGCCATGGATCATGAATTATACACTTTTACTTGAATAAAATATGTCAACAGCGTCTCACTTTAACATGTAGTGTGTGCCATGAGAAATAAGCATAATTTGAAAAATGTTCCTGAACTGATACGGCCTGATGATCACCAAGCTAATAGCCCTGATGCAAACCCCAGTGAGTATAGGGTATGGGAAGGTCTCCAGGAGATTGTATGAAGGCACCCAATCTAGAAATTTACTCAACTAAAGCTGGCAATCAAGACAGGTTGAAAAAACTTAGCTAACATTTCATTGATACTGCCATATCAGCAAGGCGAGTAAAACTAAAATATATCATTAAATAGGGTGGCGGACCAATGGAACTCCACTTTTAGATCAAATATAATCCAGGTTGAAGGACTTGTTACACTCTATTATTACTAAGAACCATTGGCACTATTTAACTGCAAAGTTGGGGTATGTAGGTTGGAAAATAAAAAAGTTGGAGTGTCTTGAAAACAAAGTGGCGTTTTTTGGCCCACCCTGTATAGGAACAGTAGAATAGGAGTGGTATTCGTCCCCGGGATAATCAACTACTTTGGTTCCCTCAAAGGGACATCATCTCCCCATTTATTACAAATCTTACTCCAGGTTAATTTAAGTTGATAAAAATTTTCGAACTGTATTTCAAGGTCAAACAGGATGTTATACGATTTGCCTATCAAATCATAACTATTTTCAGTTTAATACTTGGGGGTTATTCGGCAATTGGAACAACAACTCAAAGGCAGACTTTCGTATTCCATCGGGGCAGACAGACGACTACCATTCGTACACGATAATCCACGACAAGTTTGGAATGATGTGTAAGTTTATATACATGTATGTTTCTTATTTTATTTTACTACTAACAAAATTGTTGATTTTCTTTCTCAGAGATATTTATTTTTCTTTTGACGTTTCGTAGGATGTCCATCCTACTTCTTCAGAAATAAAATAAGATTTGAATAATTTTGTTAATAGTACATTACTACCAGCGAGATGAACATTCATAGAAGTATTATTTTATTTTGTTTTCAAATATTGCGTTTTTGTGTGTTTAATTGATAAGGCAAATGTAAATCTCTGACATTGTGAAAACTCGCCCCCATTTGTTTATACGTACTTGAAACAGTGAATGTGAATGGTTTTTTTTATTGAACTTCTAATTGAAAAAAAGGTACTAATTTAACAAATACATTGTTCCATTGTACAAATTGCTATGAATTATTTACGGCCAAACCACTGTGTTTATTCAGAACATAAAAAACACGAATGACGTTTTGTCGGTTGTTAGTTAAACCGAGTAAATATACAATATATCCGTATGCATTAAAACAACAAAGAGAATTACGAAAGCCACTTTCATAATAATTCAGTACTTCATACATTACCTGAAATATGGTTAGAAATTTAGATATCTAATCAATGATATCATTTTTAGTTACTTCCTCTTATCTATCACGCCTTGTCTCTTCTGTCTGAGTTGGAGGTGTAGTGATGCTTTGTGATGAAGTTGTAATCAAGACGTCCTAGGTTCGAATCCCAAGTGCTCCGAACATTAATCATTCATACGTGTTTTAGGGTTAATCAACAAGAACGAGTCACTCTTTAGATATCAGGCCAGCAAGACGTTTGAATACTTCATAGCTGATGCAAAAACATTCCAGCCTTTCCATCAGATTCCTCAAATAGTTCCAATTGGCGGCAACTGGAACAAGAGCCAGGTTGATGACGTATGTTATAACCATGAGGGCTGCTGGTTCGACTACATGGTCACAGGCGACAGAGAGCTGGCTAAGGCTTCCAGACAAACAGGGGAATGGTTCGATGAACTAAGAGAAATGGGGCAATACAGTGAGTTATGATTATTTTGGGGCTAGACTTGTCTTGAGTATGCACTGTTTTGCCAGGTTGAAATGTGCAAATTCTTAAAATAATGTTGTTAAGACCCGGGCATTGCTCGTAACAATGCATCCCCTCCAAAACAACAACCATAAGCAAACCGTTTATTCACATTATGCTAGATGAAGAAATAATAATAAATGATCTCCATGTCAGGAAATTCATGTGGGATTCTATACGTGCCGTATGCTAAGAAGTCAACATACAATACGTTCCTGGACACGAAGGTGTATATAACTGGTTGTTGGCCAGGCTATGAACTACGAGGATGGGCGGGTCCCTATACGTGTGAACGAGAGCGCTACAATAGATACATTCATTGGTACCCCTGGGTCTCCGCTCGCTGTTACTGTAAGTATATTGTCTGTTGTGGTTGTGCCTTTTCTTCCATTCATAACCTCCATAGCTTGAGGTCATCACGACTGAGACAAAATTTATGTCGTAAAATAGGACTACCAATACTGTATGATAAAATTGAATGTTGCAATTGTTAGCAGACTATAACGTATAATCATTTCATTGTTTCTTTCTTCGGCCTCAGTCATCTAATATTCCCCCTTTGTTTTAAAGCTGTTGGCACCATCCAGATTCACACTGCATTGATGGTCGTTGTGCCATTGATCCTCATCATCGTGGCGTCAATCATCATCGCCTGTTGTTGTTGGAAGAAACGAACGCAGAGACTTTTAGACGATGGAGACGAGAAGTATGAACAAGCATGGTTTAAGCATGCTTAGTTCGATATGCATGATTTAATTTGTTTTAGAGCTTATGTATTATGGCGTGAAGTAGGCCTGACTAACCTGTTATTACTTTTTTGATTTCTTTCAAAGAGTTCCGTATGTTTGTGTAGTTATAGGGCATGTTTTGTTGCAGTTACACGTACTTGGATGGATATAGCCAATGGATTACATCTCTCAGTTGTGGGGGTCCAAATCCCCTTTCACTATTAATTTTAATACATTTTAGTATCCAGTAATCATAGTCCTGTCTCCGTGCGTTTGTTCACTAACCAAAACAAGACGCCATCCGAGGGATTGATATTGTTGATCGCCATTCCGAGTGCAGTGGGGCTTGTTGCCATAGTGATATTTATCGCATGTTTCTGTTTTTGGTGCAGGCGAGCGAAGCGAAAGCGTGATATACTGTAAGCTTGGTTTGTGATTGTCCCTAAGTTCGAACATGAGGTCTTCCCAATGTTAAAGCTCATGTACGAACTTGTGGAACATCATAAACAAAATTATTTACACTTCAAGTTGGACTGACAAATAAGCTCGATGTGCCATTAAATATTCATCTATGTTGTCATATATTTAATACAACACATAATTTAACACAACCTTGAACTGATCAGTTGTGATTTTTTTATTCACTTTTACATTTCAACGCATGTTCACTTAACATTACTAACAATTACTTACTCTAAACCAATGCACAGTTACGTAATTGCATGCGCTGGATATGTTGTAGAAAAACCATTGTGTCAAAGTCTGATCTGGAAAAAGCTGAAAAGAATTACGCAAACAAAAATGAAATGATAAGCGATAAATGTGGCGACTCTGTGGAGCAGACCCATGTCGACAATGAATCATTTACCAATGATAATAAAAATAGCAATGAGTTTGGAAAATATCAAAATGATGCTCCCAAAGCGATTAAAGACGCGGCGATAGCAGATACAATCCCGATGAAAACATATGATGTAAGTAATAATCTAAAAGATGCTGGTGAATATGATACGATTGCATCAATCCAATCGAGTGAACGAACTACACATGGATATCATAAACGAAGAAGTGACTTTGTTATTCGTGAAATACCGATGCATGATCCAAATAAATCGTCCCCAAGCCAAGTTGGGTCACGTGGGAGGCGACGAGGGTCGTTAAGGAAACGAAGGTCATCAACGGGTTCCATTACTTCCCAAAAGAGAAAAAATAAAGGAAGTGAAACAGGAGAACATGCATGTTCCTCAAAAGAATCTCTCCATAAATCTAATCAGCCCTTAAAGCATGCTGGAGAAAACATATACGAGAGTAAGCCAAGACAAACGTCATTGGAACAAAACAAAAAGGCTGAAAATGACAATAGAAAGGCGCAAGTTACAACTGGTGCTGGAAATGGTGAATCAACGAACACGCATACGGTAATAGCTGTTATTGAAAGCAGCGATAATTCAAATGATACGGAAACTGCAGCTTATAACATTGACAAACATGTGATCTCAAGCAAGCAATCACAAAGCTTCACTCCTCATTCAATCCTGAGCACTCCCAACTCCAGTCGAAGTGGAACGCCTGTAAAGAAAAGAGTTTCAATAAAGTCTAGTAGAGAATCGCCACCTATAACACCAGGGTTCAATAGACAGAGGATATACATGAACATCTTGGAGACGCAAAATGAATTAGTGTCTATGAATCCTAATTTTGGCGATGAACCGCCACCACCTCTCCCTCCGCCAAGACTAAAAGAAAGGTATATAAATATGGGTATCATCAACACAGCTTACGAGGATGATAACTCGATAGACAGTGAACTGGGTCAGATTCATAGTGATATGATGACTAGAGATTTAGCAAGAATACACATGGAAACCAAACAAAGAATTGAGAGCCGAAGGTCGAGCGGGTAGTTACATTTTCTTACTAACTGTTTGTAGCAATACTGTCTTAGTATATATAACACCATTTGATTTTGTTTTCGTGAAAGGTTTCTAGCTAGTTTGTTATATGTTGTTGCTTAAACAAAATGTGGTAGTCGTAGTATGCATTTGGACATTTACATATTAAGCAATATGGACAAATATAAAAACGAATATGTTAGCTTCAATGATAAATTAAAAAAATTCTATGTAGTATTTCACATAATTTACCAGTTTGATAGTTGTGTCTTTGCTTTATATTATTTGTTGAAGTTGATATAGAAAATTCAACTAGGGCTACCATTTTAATTACAGCATTATTATTTACTAGATAGAAACCTTAATTTTCTTATCTTAGTGCATCTTTCTAACTGCTTTTAGACCCCCCACTGAGCCCGTTCTCGAAACGTCATCACGAGAATCGACAACCCCGGAAAAGGAAAGGATTGAAGACTCCCCACCGCCGGTTCCTAAACCCATGGCGTATAGTAGCACGACCCCCGCTGCTCCCCCAAACAGCTATGTTAAAACAGACGTTGTGCCCCGTTTGACGCCAGCCTACACTAATGTTCCACAGAAATCCGCCCAAACTGGATATGAACCGACACGATCATCAGCGTACACACCGGCGACTACATCACCATACAGACCGAATTACACTACACCTAGCAGCCGATCGCCGTATACCCCAATGACAACGAAACAGAGTACAACTCCAACAGGAACATCACCCAAGCCTACACAGTTTTCCTCTGCTCCAGTGTCTTCATCCTCTAGCCCAATAAAACCTGCATCATCATTTGGGTCAAAATCACCAGATGCAACACAACCATCACAAGCATACGCACCATCGTATTCCAATTATGGAAGCAGATTTAGACCATCAGGAAACCCCACTCAGAGAGAGAGCAGACTAAGCGCCAACCCATATGCAAATGTTAGTCCAAAGAACGAGGGTGGATTAAGTCCTAATCCATATTCAAATGCTAGTCCAAAGAGAGAAAGTAAATTAAGTCCCAATCCATATTTAAATGCTAGTCCAAAGAGAGAAAGTAGATTAAGCCCCAATCCATATTCAAATGTTAGTCCAAAATCGTCCAACTCGCTTCCGCGGTCTGATAATAGCAGCTTTGGTGGTAGTAGTAGGGGAGGGTTTGATAGGTCGCCAGGTGCAGCACGTTCAGTGCATGACAGGTCGCCAGGTGCAGCACGTTCAGTGCATGACAGGTCGCCAGGTGCAGCACGTTCAGCGCATGACAGGTCGCCAGGTGCAGCACGTTCAGTGCATGACAGGTCGCCAGGTGCAGCACGTTCAGCGCATGACAGGTCGCCAGGTGCAGCTCGTTTTCTGCATGAGAGGTCGCCAGGTGCAGCTCGTTATCCGCGTGGCAATCCACCAAGTGACCCGAGATAGACTTAGGCCTTCTATGAATGCACGATCAGCAAAAATACAAGTATATGCTTTTTGGGGGCTATCGGCCAATGCATGCCAAGGTTTGAAGGTGTGTTTTGCTTATTAGAATACTACGCCATTAAACTATGCTTTAACTTGATTAATTAATAAATAATTAAATGAATATGTTTCAATCTATCCGTCAAATATTGGGAATTACTTTTAGTTTAATTAAAAAATCTAAATTGCGTGGAAAATCATAGTGTATATTTTAACACACAATATCATGCTCAAATACCTGTGATCTGGCAGACTCACGAATCACTAAGTTCATTGCCATACTCTTGACTGTATGTTCAGAATCACTAAGTTCATTGCCATTACTCTTGATCTTATGTTTAGATTCACTAAGTTCATTACCATTACTCTTGATTTTATGTTGAGAATCACTTAGTTCATTGCCATTACTCTTGATCTTATGTTTAGAATCACTAAGTTCACTGCCATTACTCTTGATTTTATGTTTAGGATCACTAAGTTCACTGCCATTACTCTTGGTTGTATGTTTAGGATATCTAAGTTCACTGCCATTACTCTTGATCTTATGTTAAGAATCACCAGTTTATTGCCATTACTCTTGACTGTATGTTTAGAATCACTAAGTTCACTGCCATTACTCTTGGTTGTATGTTTAGGATCACTAAGTTCACTGCCATTACTCTTGATCTTATGTTAAGAATCACCAGTTTATTGCCATTACTCTTGATTGTATGTTTAGAATCACTAAGTTTATTGCCATTACTCTTGATTTTATGTTGAGAATCACTTAGTTCATTGCCATTACTCTTGATTTTATGTTTAGAATCACCAGTTTATTGCCATTACTCTTGATTTTATGTTTAGAATCACTAAGTTCATTGCCATTACTCTTGATTTTATGTTAAGAATCACTAAGTTTATTGCCATTACTCTTGACTGTATGTTTAGAATCACTAAGTTCACTGCCATTACTCTTGATTTTATGTTAAGAATCACCAGTTTATTGCCATTACTCTTGACTGTATGTTTAGAATCACTAAGTTCACTGCCATTACTCTTGATTTTATGTTGAGAATCACTTAGTTCATTGCCATTACTCTTGATTTTATGTTTAGAATCACCAGTTTATTGCCATTACTCTTGATTTTATGTTTAGAATCACTAAGTTCATTGCCATTACTCTTGATTTTATGTTTAGAATCACCAGTTTATTGCCATTACTCTTGATTTTATGTTTAGAATCACTAAGTTCATTGCCATTACTCTTGATTTTATGTTTAGAATTACTAAGTTTATTGCCATTACTCTTGATTGTATGTTTAGAATCACTAAGTTCATTGCCATTACTCTTGATTTTATGTTTAGAATCACTAAGTTCATTGCCATTACTCTTGATTTTATGTTTAGAATCACTAAGTTCATTGCCATTACTCTTGATTTTATGTTTAGAATTACTAAGTTTATTGCCATTACTCTTGATTGTATGTTTTGAATCACTAAGTTCATTGCCATTACTCTTGGTTGTATGTTTAGGATCACTAAGTTCACTGCCATTACTCTTGATCTTATGTTTAGAATCACTAAGTTCACTGCCATTACTCTTGGTTGTATGTTTAGAATTACTACATTCATTGCCATTACTCTTGATTGTATGTTTAGGATCACTAAGTTCATTGCCATTACTCGTGATCTTATGTTTAGATTCACTAAGTTCACTGCCATTACTCTTGATTTTATGTTTAGGATCACTAAGTTCACTGCCATTACTCTTGATCTTATGCTTAGAATCACTAAGTTTATTGCCATTACTCTTGATTGTATGTTTTGAATCACTAAGTTCATTGCCATTACTCTTGGTTGTATGTTTAGGATCACTAAGTTCATTGCCATAACTCTTGATTTTATGTTTAGAATCACTAAGTTTATTGCCATTACTCTTGATTGTATGTTTAGATTCACTAAATTCATTGCCGTTACTCTTGGTTGTATGTTTAGAATTACTAAATCCATTGCCATTACTCTTGATTTTATGTTTAGAATCATTAAGTTCATTGCCATTACTCTTGATCTTTTGTTTAGAATCACTAAGCTCATTGCCATTACTCTTGATCTTATGTTTAGAATCACTAAGCTCATTGCCATTACTCTTGATCTTATGCTTAGAATCACTAAGTTTATTGCCATTACTCTTGATTGTATGTTTAGAATTACTAAGTTCACTGCCATTACTCTTGATCTTACGCTTAGAATCACTAAGTTTTTTGCCATTACTCTTGGTTGTATGTTTTGAATCACTAAGTTTACTGCCATCACTCTTGATCTTATGTTTAGAATCACTAAGTTCACTGCCATTACTCTTGATTGTATGTTTAGAATTACTAAGTTCACTGCCATTACTCTTGATCTTACGCTTAGAATCACTAAGCTTTTTGCCATTACTCTTGGTTGTATGTTTAGAATCACTAAATTCATTGCCATTACTCTTGATCTTATGCTTAGAATCACTAAGTTTATTGCCATTACTCTTGATTGTATGTTTTGAATCACTAAGTTTACTGCCATCACTCTTGATCTTATGTTTAGAATCATTAAGTTCACTGCCATTACTCTTGATTTTATGTTTAGATTCACTAAGTTCACTGCCATTACTCTTGATTGTATGTTTAGATTCACTAAGTTCATTGCCATAACTCTTGATTTTATGTTCAGAATCACTAAGTTCACTGCCATTACTCTTGATCTTATGCTTAGAATCACTAAGTTTATTACCATTACTCTTGATTGTATGATTAGAATCACTAAGTTCACTGACATTACTCTTGATCTTATGTTTAGAATTACTAAGTTCACTGCCATTACTCTTGATTTTATGTTTAGAATTACTAAGTTCACTGCCATTACTCTTGATTTTATGTTTAGAATTACTAAGTTCATTGCCATTACTCTTGATTGTATGATTAGAATCACTAAGTTCATTGCCATTACTCTTGATTGTATGATTAGAATTACTAAGTTCACTGCCATTACTCTTGATTTTATATTTAGAATTACTAAGTTCATTGCCATTACTCTTGATCTTTTGTTTAGAATTACTAAGTTCACTGCCGTTACTCTTGATTTTATGTTTAGAATTACTAAGTTCACTGCCATTACTCTTGATTTTATGTTTAGAATTACTAAGTTCACTGCCATTACTCTTGATTTTATGTTTAGAATTACTAAGTTTATTGCCATTACTCTTGGTTGTATGTTTAGAATTACTAAATGCATTGCCAGTACTCTTGATTGTATATTTAGAATCACTAAGCTCATGGCCATTACTCTTGATCTTTTGTTTAGAATCATTAAGTTTATTGCCATAACTCTTGATTGTATGTTTGGGAATACTAGGTTCATTGCCATTACTCTTGATTGTATTTTTTTAATTCCTAAGTTTATTGCAATAACTCTTGCTTGTACATTTAGAATCACTAAGTTTATTGTCATAACTCTTGATTGTATTTTTAGAATCACTAAGTTCATCGCCATTACTCTTGATTTTATGATTAGAATCAATAAGGTCATTGCAATGTCAACTTAGAAAGCCATATAAAGCAAAAAAGTAATTTGTCCTCAAAAGATTAAAACTTTTGTTAAGGAGTAAGCTTATGTTTTGTCAAATTGTCTCGCTTTGTCCAATAATATTCATTTTGTAAAGAAGATATACTAAGTTATGTTATGCTTATCTTGGGCATGGCTTGCGGTATCCATAGCAACGTTTGTATTTGTTGCTGCTATGTAAACCCAGTGTGTGGTGAATACATATTTTATAATTTATATGCTTCTAGCCATTATTAAAATACACACAACATAAGAGTATTTATTATTCAATATGTTTATACAGTAATATCAATTCAAGTTGCAACTCTAAAATAACCTTTATATCGTAAATGTGTAAAATATGAAATTGCAATTTGTAAATGATGATTTGGTTGTAATAGTTTTCAACACTGACATTTACATTTCCTTTCCAGGGGTCTAAGAGTTGAGCTACTAGGCAGCCCTCCAAGTAGTCATAGCAACGGACAGGTAGCGAATAATGGTGTAGGTCTCTTTGCTTTACCCCCAAGCAAGATCAACACTTTAGAACGACAACGGCAGTTAGCGGAAGAAAAGGAACGTAAAGAAATGGAAAAATTCATCAAATTGAATAACGCACCCTACAAATCCACTGACATTAATTTATTTGGTGTAAATATTCCTAGTCGAGTGAACACTCTAGAAAGACAGAGGCAAAGCCGGGCGAGTACATTAGAGCGACAACTACAACGAGCATCATCCAGGTCATCGAGAGTCGACCTGTCCAAATTAAGTCCGAAAGTTCAGCATGAAACAGATAAACTAGCCAATGACACCGAGGTTACAACTTCAAAAGAAGTTGGTTCAAATTTTGGTCCAGATATTTCGCAACTAACAGATGCAATCGTCAAACTTACCGAGGCTGTTCCTAATGATGAGAACAAAATCGAACCAAAGGTCGAGCCAAAACAAAAAGAACAAAGAAAATTTCCAAGACTTAATTTCTCGGCATCTAAATCAAAGAACAAAAACAAGAAGATTGAAAAAAGTAATGAAGTAGATTCCAAAGAGAGTGATAGCGAAAATGAACTTGATGGTAACAATCCACCGAAAATAATAGTACAGGCGCCAACTAAACCCGACTCCCCAAACGTCATCACAAACGAGAAAAGGTCGGTACCAAGAAGCACAAGACGCTACGTAAATCCTTATAAAGACCCCTCGCCAGACCACATAATACCAACAGAAGACTCATCTCCCGAATCATATTCCGCTAAAGCCCCGACAATAACACCAAAGACCAGTCTTAGACAAAACACAGCAGCCAGTGATAATAAAACTGATCCCATCTATGCCAAACCCAAGACACAACCTGCGACAGTCCCCTTTCAGAAAACACCCCGTATAATTCCACAACCGATAAAGGAAAACAATCCAATCAAAACAAGTGAGCCCAAAATCAAACCACAAACTGAATCGAAACCCACAACGAAAGTATATAATCAAGTGCCACTATCAAAATCGGAATTGCCGGACACAAATGATAAACATATTCCGAATTCCAGAAAGCCAAATTCAAACTATGAACCATCACTATATGGAAAAAATACAAATAGGACTGACCCCAAACCTAAGGAAAAGGAAAGTCCCATCCAAGAAGTCGACATACTTTATCCAAAAAGATCTCCAATTTCACCCAGCAATAAGTATCCTTCTCGTCAACCCACAAACCCGTATGCAACATACACAAGCCCTTATTCTAACCCAGGAAGAAGACCGTATGTCATGAATAAAAGTCCGTTAAACTCTTCTCCTCAGAACCCATATACAAACCAAAAGAGTCCAAATTCGAATCCAAATCAAAGAGTCCCATACTCGTCTTCGTCCCTTCCCTATCCGAGACAAGACAGGAACCCAGGGGGTCCGTACACACCAAATCGAACGGGCACATACGATAAGCCGTCCGTCGATAAGCCATATTACGACAGCCGTAAGATGGATAGTATTGACTCTGCTTTTCCACCCACTGACGACTATACAGAAGGGTCAGTGTCTGAGGAAGACGATCCTGTGTTCTACCCACGTGAATTCAATGCTAATTACATGGGACATTATTAAAACAATTTCAGAGAACAGTTCATGATAACTCAAGGTGATTTGACAACCCAGAATTCATTCTCTTGACTGTCGTGAACCAATTTGGTAACATACGAGATAATTACTATTATGATAATCTCGCAACTAATGCCTGGGTCACATATTCTCCAATCCATCGGCCGGCGCCCGGCAGATTGAGTGTTTTGTACAATATTGTATTCAATTCTGAACAAAATACTCAATCGCCCGGGCGCCGTAGTGAAAATCGGAGCAAATGTGACCAAGGCATTAGAAATTGAAAATGAACAATATAGTAGTACTATCACCAAATTGTTCATGTCAGTCAAAAGGAGATCGAGAGGAATGCTGGGAGACAACCCTCCTTGATTGAAACTAAAAATGTTAAAGCTTTTTGTGCATGCGTAGGTTTTGTTAACAGTACACGTTAATGAATAAATAATAAATAAACGAGTATACAGTTATCTACAGGGCACAAGTTATATCACATGCATTATTGTTAAAATAACTTACATGAAGTCCGAGAGAAAACTTTAATATATGATGTTTTGCTTTTGTATTATGGCATATATTACTATCATTTTGAAATATCTTATTCAACAGATTGCGTCTTGATGAATTAATGTACATATTAGAGTGTGTCATGCGTGAGGCAGTGATGTACTTCTATAATACCAACTCTTAATGGCTCTTATTAGAATTTTAGAATAACCTTCTCAATTGTCACTGAATTTTCTTGAATTTTCATGTGGAGAATTTATTCCAAAATTAAAGACTTTTTGTGTCACCCTGTGGCTTAACTTCCTCGTATATGTTTTTACGTTTTATATTTGCTTTGGGTAATAATAATATACATTTATTTTATAGCACATATTGTTAAATAATAGAGGATTTAAGCCCAGGTCTTAATGAACTGACATGCGTGCTTTAAATCAACCACCATTCACTGAGTCATATGCTTGAATTATTTTACATATTGCAAATGATTTTGTTAAATTATTTCCACATGTTGCAAATGGTTTTGTACAGTATTTAAAAAGAATGCAATTCAAATGGATTTTTGCAAGGGTTTTATATTTAAGAAGATCATGATCTCTCCTCGATAAAATCCTGGATTTTTGTAAATGAAATGTATAAATCTTTTTTGTAAATGAGTTCAATTTTTAGCGTTGACATTTTTAATACTCTAAGCATTATACATTGTAGTTTTTCTTTATTATTGCAGAATGTAGATTTTGGATTTAATACATTGAGAAAGTGTCTTAAAATGGCGTTTAGATTATACATGGTGTTTCATATATGCATCCTCCTCTAAACTAATACACGTAGTGTTGCCACCCCATCATGCTATATATAATTTTGTTCCTTATGGAAAGTTATACAAGATTGCAGTCAAGGGGTATCCCTGAAAAAAGATAAAGAGGTGGGGCATATGGAACACCCTGTAAAAACCATTATTGTGGATTCTCTTCATTTACTAATATAAGATATTGTTCTAATACATCTGAGTATAGCATCTTAATTGCAAAGTCTATAATGTATCATTATATATTTTGTATACCGTAATCATATTCAATTCGAAGCAAGTGTGTTCATATGTATAAAGCTCATCTTCGTATATGTATATTCTGCAATGTATTGTTATATTTTGGTACAACGCTTTTATATCACCACGACAATCATATAATATCTATAATTTATACTCTTCTGTTGAATATTTCTTCTGTGGTGTGAACATCTCGGCTATATTCAATTGAATATGGAAATATGGAAATTATAATTTTTAAGAGATGATATCATTAGAACATTGTATAATAATGTAATATGAACTGTAATAATAATAAAATATCATGTACGGTTTGGTCACGAACATTTAATACAAATGTCTTGTCACGTGTCAGGTTTTAGATGGTGTGGGAGTGAAATATATCTGTGTATCTCATACTTAAGTGGGTTTGGGGTAGATATCACTCGGGAATATATATCATATCTGAGGAGCGGGCAGGATATATTGTATGTGTCCCGCTCCAGGCCAAATGCGGGCAGATATAATATATCCATCCCGCTCCCGGGAATTTTTCAATGGTTTGAAAAAGTTTAAAATCATAATTGAATTCGTTCAAGAAAAATGTAAGATTTTTCATTTATTTTCATTTATTATAGAAAACACTTTTTATACTTTTCATCTAAAAAACTTCACCGTATTAAAGGACATCATTATTCATTTTTGAGGGATGATCATTGAGAGTTAATCATGTTTCGAGAGACTACATACATCGTTGTTCATATATTTTTATGGAGCCTGCTGCTCTATGCATTAAAAAATTACGATAACAAAAAGTGAAGGAATTACTTTTGAATAACTGTAAGAACTGAATGGTAACATCTTTCTGTGAATATTTTCATTTCAAATTTGATTTATATCTCCATAGTACAGTTAAACATATAGATGGCCTGTACCTGGTGTACAGGCCTTAGCGTAAAATTTTTTTGTATTTTAGATTTAAACATATTTACATTAGCATGTCACGTTCTTGTACATGAAATAAATTGCCTTGGCCTTTAAAGTCATATTACAATCATCATCTTCTTTATATGTCTGGATGGCATAATCTTCTCGCATTTTAGAAAGCGCAAATAGGACTACTCGTTCAGCATCTAAAGAGCCGCACAATAGAGTGTTCTTTGGGTTCAATATCCCCTGGATTAGTTTTCGGGCAAGGCAAATTGAATTTAGGTTTAAGTTTATTAAACACTTTTTCATTCTGACCATTGACAACATGACCTTTACAGAAATCAATTAAGTTTTCAATTTTGAAGTGTATGTACTACATATACGTGCGTCTCTTATATGCCTTATTGAGGTGACTATAGAGCTGGAATTGATAATAACTTATTACGTGATGATGACCAAAAGAACAAATGATTCAATTTGACCTGTACCACCTCATTTTTTTAATTTCGTAAAATTTTAAAACTTGTTGTTTTGCTGAAATATACGATGCCCTTTGTTCCATTGTCATCCATTTCGCAATTTAAAACATTGCTATCGCTGTATTGTTCTGGACCCACAATTGGCATTTTGTTGTAATGGTTTTGCGTTACTGTTAGATTGTATAAACCTTTTTACTATTATTCTAAAATGTCCACCATTAACAGCAATAAAACCGCTTGTTGAACAACAAATGTTTAAACATAACAATTCATAATAGAAACATGTAAAACAGTAATCCATTGAGGGTTCGGAATTTTATGGCTCCAAACATGAATTGTATTTGATATCACATTTAATAAAAGCAGCATATGTTTCATTTTATGTTCTTCATTTGTCAATGACAAGGTCGTTACATTACTGAGATATTTTTACAATTGAAAATATTTACCAAGGATTTTGTAAATTCTATTTGTGAATTTTATACTCTACTTGGATTTATACGTTTGGATCTGTTTTAATTCAGCTATGAGGATACAGCTTTTAACATTGCTCCTCCTGGTCGTGTGCCTCGCATTGGCATTGGGTAGGTGTTAACGTTTATAATATCGGGCCCCAATATCATATGTTGCAAAGAAAGAGAGCTCATGTTCATGCTCTATTTAAATATGATGGCATGCGAAACACAAATGATTTAACATTCTTTTCGATGACCCACGGATAACATTCACAAAAAAGTATTTTTAATGTCCAAATATAAATTAACTAAAATACATTTTGATCATGTATGTACTACTACATACCTGCCAACCTAAGACTAAAATTTTGCGGTAGATTTTTTTAAAATTGCTGTATTTTTGCGGTAGATTTTTTCAAAATACGGTAGATTTTGCGGTATTTTTCAACAAAATTGCGGTAGTTTTTACGGTAGATTTTAGAAAAAACGGTAGTTTTTGCGGTAGATTTTTTAAAAAACGGTAGTTTTTGCGGTAGATTTATAAAATAAACGGTAGTTTTTGCGGTAGATTTAAAAAAATACTGTAGTTTCAGAGGTTTGGGGTAGATTTTTGAAAAAAATGTAATTTTACGGTAGAAATTTGAAAAAAGCGGTAGTTTTGCGGAAGATTTAGAAAAAATGCGGTAGATTTTTAAAAATGCAGTAGTTTTTACGGTAGTTTTTTGAAAAACCGGTAGTTTTGCGAAAGATTTTGAAAAAATGCGGTAGTTTTACGGTAGATTTTGAAAAAATGCGGTAGTTTTCACGGTAGTTTTTTGAAAAAGCGGTAGTTTTGCGGAAGATTCGGAAAAAACGCGGTAGTTTTACGGTAGATTTTGAAAATTGCTGTAGTTTTTACGGTAATTTTTTGAAAAACCGGTACTTTTGCGGAAGATTTGCCAAAAATGCGGTACTTTTCGGTAAATTTGGAAAAAATGCGGTAGTTTTTGCGATAGATTTTAAAATAACTAGTTTTGTGGAAGAATTTGACCTACCCCACATGATTTTATGTGCAATATGTCATTAATTATGTGGGGTAAGTCACTATATGTCCGTGCTATTTGGTAAATGTTCGGTAAATGAACATTGTTTGGTTCTAAAGTATATTTGTATTTGATGTGTGTTCTAAATATATTATGTGTCAACCGTCTTTGTTCGTGACTTAAATGTGACATTTTACCGAACACTGAATAACATGAACAGCATATACAAGTGCATTTATCGCATATATAGTTACATAAATCAAATATAAATGTGTAAAAACAAACGAATTTATTACGTGTTTCGAACCATTTTAATAGAGTGGAATATCGAATGGTTGTAATCAAATCCAAAAGTGTGAAAATAGAATAAAGATGCAGAAAAAATTCAATAATCCTCATGCTGGTTACTGATATAATGTGTTTAGATGAAAAATACAACATTTTATCGTACTGAAAACAAATTGATTAAACTATGTATAATGTATATGTGGCGTTCAGTACTGATCATAAACCAAACTACGCATATTTCATACGGTAAAGCAAGTAGTTTTTGTCATTTCCACTCATTTATTTAGATGAAGCGCAACTAAAATCATATTTTTGTTGCATTCGGAATAAAGATCTGTGTACAAAAGGGTTTGGTTAACTACAAAAATCATGTCAGAAAGAATTCTTTCTTGTGGTAGTTGATGTTTGGACTGATTATACGCCAGCGTACTTAGATAAATGCGCAATAACCTGATAACCACAGACCTGTCGATACCTATTTATATTTGGGTTGGTGAAGGAATATTACAGGGACAGTACAGGAAGACTTCAATTTTTCAGCATTTCCCAACAATAACGGGAAATTTTACGGTAGTTTGAACAAAAATACTGTTGATTTTAGCAGAAATACGGTAGATTTTCGAAAATTTACGGTAGATTTTCAAAAATTTACGGTAGATTTTACGGCCGTTCTCATGGAAGAAACGAGTTTTTAAAAAATAAATTTACGGTAGATTTCGAAAAAAATACGGTAAATTTTTTTACGGGCGTTTTTACGGGAAAAACATGGTATTTTTTTACGGAAGTTAGTCATTTTTTTACGGAAAAACGAAAAATTTACGGTAGATTCCCGTAAAAATACGGTAGGTTGGCAGGTATGTACTAAGTAGATCTCATTGCATCCATCCAAATTTTGTAGCTGGTAAAAAGGGTTGTAAAGGCAAACGTGGTAAAAGAAAGTGTCGTACAACTACAACTACAACTACTACTACTACCACAACTACAAATACTACTACTACTACACCGAACACTACAACTACTACCACTACACCGAATAACATAACCACAGCCACAAATACCACTACGGCGCCAGTTAACTGCATTGAAGTTAATGATGTCAGAGATAGTGGCGAAATTGATGAAGGCACCCCGGACGCACCACCTCGAAGTGGTGCAACTTATTACAATCAGTTTTTAGATGGTAAGTGCTATTCATTGCATGTTCGACATAATTGCATTTATAGGTTATACAATATGTACCTGTAAGTGCTATTCATTGCATGTTCGACATTATTGCATTTATAGGTTATACAATATGTACCTGTAAGTGCTATTCATTGCATGTTCGACATTATTGCATTTATAGGTTATACAATATGTACCTGTAAGTGCTATTCATTGCATGTTCGACATTATTGCATTTATAGGTTATACAATATGTACCTGTAAGTGCTATTCATTGCATGTTCGACATTATTGCATTTATAGGTTATACAATATGTACCTGTAAGTGCTATTCATTGCATGTTCGACATTATTGCATTTATAGGTTATACAATATGTACCTGTAAGTGCTATTCATTGCATGTTCGACATTATTGCATTTATAGGTTATACAATATGTACCTGTAAGTGCTATTCATTGCATGTTCGACATTATTGCATTTATAGGTTATACAAGACCTGTAAGTGAGGCCTCATTACGGCATGTCTGATTTACCAAATGTCTTTTCAGTGTTGATGTTAATGGAAAAATAAATGATCATCTTCAGTTTGGTGGATATGAAATAAACAGTCGATAAACAGCTGATCGACTGGAATTGATTGAAGGCCCCAATTGTGTATAACTGAACGAAGAATGATTCTATAAGTATACTCTAACCATGAGTGTTAACACTATTTTAAGGTATTCCATGATTGTTGAATGTTTTAATATACACCGCCATTGCATGCATAAGCTACATTTTTGAGTTTTGAATTACTTTAGTGTGTGACCGACCAAGTAATGGTACCAGGGCGACGGTATCTAGTTTAGCTGGCAGGGCGTCGAATATGTTAGCAGTAAGTGGGCTTAGTGCTAAGTGTGGTTTCTGGATAATTATACAGACGAGCACACACGAATATGCTGGCTCGTGGGATCCTTATGCAATACGATTTTGGAACAATGAAGAAAATGGCGCATCTTTAAAGTTCCCTATAAACAATGGACGGGACGACAAAGAACCAGGCTCGTAAGTTGTCAGACATTTACGGGTAACGACTTTTGGATCGCAACGAAGATGGCCAAAGATCTAACCCTCAGGCCTCACCCATCTATGGTTTTGATTGGGTCCTTGAAGTATGTTTCGCCAACTTCGTCATATAGACATCATTAATACTACACCAGGAATGTGTAACGTAATGCCTTAGGAATGATTTAAGTTGCATTGTTGGGCTTTGTGTTTTTCAGATGGGACGCATATGGTGTCATTCTTCCAAAATATATCCCAAAGCCACCAAAATGGATAAGAATCTCAAACGAAGCAAAGAAAGAGTTGTGGGATATGGACAACTGGAAAATAAAAAGGGTAAATATATAAAGGTTATTTAATGGGAGGTTTTGATACAGGGTATATCCGAGGGAAATACAATATATCTACCCGAGAGATCGTAGGGACCGAGAGTTGATATATTGTATTTACCGAGGGATATTTCCTGTTCCAAAAATCGAGCGTTTAATAACGGATTTATCCCATACTTAGTAGATTATGAGGATAAAGTATGAATTAAATGTTATTGAACCCTCGTGTAATAATTACAATGATAGTGACAATCGAAACATGAATATTTTATCTCAATTTAAAGTTGTCAACGTTTATTGTTTTTTAAAAATTCAAAACTTTATAACATTAAGGGGTATATGAAATTAATATCAATTCAATAAGGTCATGGTTATACACGTACTGTACTGATGAACGAAAAAAGCACCGAACGAAATTCACGGGAATTACTGATGAAATTCTTGAATTAGGGATTCTACTTTTCAATTGATTTGCCAATGGATTATCCTGACTCAAAGTCAGAACTCTTGATTTCTTTTAGAAAATTAGAGATGTACTTTTTTGTGATACTTACACTCAACTCGTCTTTAAAGCTCCCACTTCCTAAAGATGCAACTGGGTTAGAAAAATATGCAAGGGGATAATTTCACTGTTTGGTATGTACAGTGAAGCCAACATTTTCTAGGTGGGGTCACGATTTTGGACTGCAAACGAATATGCTTGTAACCAAGCCGAAGATGGCCGAAGATGCCTCGAGGAATTTGATTGGTTCCTTGAAGCATTTTCGGCCATCTTCGTGATGTTAACATCTTCGGCCATCTTCGTGATATTGACATCTTTGGCCATCTACGTGATGTTAACATCTTCGGCCATCTTCGTGATATTAACATCTTCGGCCATCTTCGTGATATTGACATCTTTGGCCATCTACGTGATGTTAACATCTTCGGCCATCTTCGTGATATTAACATCTTCGGCCATCTTCGTGATATTGACATCTTTGGCCATCTACGTGATGTTAACATCTTCGGCCATCTACGTGATGTTAACATCTTCGGCCATTTTCGTGATATGAACATATTCGGCCATCTTCATAATATTAACATCTTCGGCCATCTTCGTGATATAAACATCTTCGGCCATCTTCGTGATATTAACATATTCGGCCATCTTCGTGATATTGACATCTTCGGCCATCTACGTGATGTTAACATCTTCGGCCATCTTCGTGATATTGACATCTTCGGCCATCTACGTGATGTTAACATCTTCGGCCATTTTCGTGATATTAACATATTCGGCCATCTTCGTGATATTACCACCTTCGTGATATAAACATCTTCGGTCATCTTCGTGATATTAACATCCTCGGCCATCTTCGTGATATTACCATCTTTGGTTATGGTGCATCCGTGCTTTCCCTTTTTAGGTCCTCGTAGTGAACACGTGTTATGGCAAAATCTACGAATTCGGATGTGGCTGTTGGGTAGTGCGTCGTAAGAAAAGTTACGTTTGGCTTGAACGTAGATTTGCGAGTCCATTTTAATCATGTGGCTGATTCAAACGACTACAATATTTATATTTTTCGAAAAACGATATCTACCAAAAAGAAACGATTGTTCTTGCCAAAGTGTCTTCAGATTTGAATAAAACGTTTTCTTGGAAATGTCAAATCGATTGTTGTCAAGTTATTCCTAAATTTGAACCTGACAACTTGACAGTTGTCAAAAGGGAATATTTATATAGGATGACACAAAACACACGTTGGGGTCACCCTGTATCTAAAATGTAGACAGAAGGAAGCATAGAAATGCCGAAATAGATTATTTATTTGCTTAAAGATTTAAAGCTCAAGATTTTCAGTCATCAAAAGAAGTTTTGATTCAACTATAAATCGATTTACCCTCGAATGATGTGGGGCATTTTTAAAATTAATTACGAGCACCTTGCAGGGTCAACCCACAACACTGTAAAAATCCATTTTAAACATCATAGGAGGACTATTATATAGTTGTTCCCGATTCCCATTGTTGAATTATCTGTTCTTCAGCATTATAGCCATTATCCACCTCAAAGTTACCAAGAAAACCTTTACTATACTATGAATCTGTCAGATAATGAGGCAACGAGTAAAAATCTATTTCGAATCTGATTATTATATAATCCAAGAGCACACCCGGTGATCGGAACAATGGAAGAGAGAGGGGAGCAGGCAATTCTGCTACAAAATTTTTTAAGGATAGTTTAATTACTGTTGAATTGCTGAATGAATAGGCCATGGTCTGGTAAAACATGTTAGGAATTCTAGAATTATTTTAGAACCGATACGCTTTCAAGATACGATATATTTTAAAAGGCGCAACGCCGCCAACGGGCAAATGTCGATGTTTTTGCCGTTAATCAAGCAACAATGACCTCTATACGACCTGTTATAAATCCGCGTGAGTGATATCAGCATCAAATTAATGGAATTGCTGACTTAATGGAATAAGTTTCCAAACGCTATATAAAAAATAATCGAAAATATTTAAAATGGGGTGGGGAGGGGAGGGGATGGAGAGGGGGAGTAATATGTCATAAGACAAGATAAGAGATGTAACTTCACACTCTCTTCATCCAATCTTTCCGATCACCGGACGTGAAGAAAATAGGCGTGGCCATTTTAATTGATCATACTAAGTATTTCTTGCATCAACCATTGCAATTCTCGACATTTATCAACCATTATATATATATAGTGATGATTTCAATACTTGTTAATTTGCCTGGTCTTTGTTTTTATTCATACCTACAAATAGAAATGCTGTAAAAACTAATCAAAAGGGTTGATCAAACATTAATCATGCTTAATATCAGATTCCATAGAATTATCTGAACAATTATACTTTGGATTTTTTTATATGAATGAATGACGGTTGTAATTTTAATTACATTTGGCGCCCGCCCTCACAAACATGCCAACGACAAGAAAGCACATTTTTACTGAATTGCGCAAAGTATCCATGCCTTCCACTAATGATTAATCATCTCTATATGTTAATCATTATACAAACTTAAAAGTCTAGGATACCGCGCAAAGGCTCATCATTAACACAGAACTTCAGAAGGGACACAGACAAACAATGCAGCTTTTTACTTTGCTACTTATAGCAATATGCTTCTCACCAGCGGTATTTGCAGGTATGGCTTAACAATTTACAACATTATCTTAGATTTGATTATTTTTCCAGATTTTTGCAAATACATTTCATAGCAATTGAAATACATTTGAAATCATAATTAATATCGCTGATTATCTAACACACATATTATTAGATAATATAATTTTTCTAAAAGACATGAGGCAATTTGTTTTAAAAAACTCAAAAATTCCGAAAAGATAACAATGTTAATAACATTTTCTTTTTAAAAGGAATCTCTTTAATTATTCTAAATAAATGTATTTTCATAGAAATACATTTTAATCTACAGCAAAGCAACTCTGGAATTACATTATTCATTCGGGGATATTCATGATTTTTCCATGAAGTGCACTGACAAAGTAACTCGCAAGTTTGGGCACTTTTCTTGAAGTATATATTGCACTTTATATATAACACTCTTATAACACAGTATTTATAAATTTCAATTGAAATATATAGGTGGAAAGAAAAAATGTCGCAAATATCCAAATGCACCCGGCTGTTCTCCACCAGATGATGACGAGGATGATAATCCTGACAAACCACCACTTAAAACGGGACCAAAGTACGTAACGTCAGGAGGTACGTAGCATCTAATGCTAAAACATTTTACATTATGTAAAGAACTTGGTTATGAATCCAAAGTAAAAGGATTGGTATCGATATAAAGAACCGAATTCAATAATGTTTTTCTTTAAACCAATTATTGAAAACATTCTGTAAAAAACACGGTCCTTTATGTAATGGTGACTGATTGACAACAAGTTAATGCGAAAATATTTAGAAATATTTTACATTAGGCCTACTGTTTTTGTTAACATTTTTTGTTTTTTAGTGCAATTTTTGTTCCTTATTACCATTTCTTGAGAATGAAATAAAATATCTTTCCGAAGCTTGTTTGAACAAAATAGCATATAGAACATTTTCTTAGACTTCCCAATATGATAGTTGTACAAAATACATTTTGGTTGATTTAACAAAAAGTATTCAAAAATTTAAAACAAAACCCCTCGAAATAGATAAAAACTAAGATAAACCTTTAATTTCATTAACAAGATACTTTTTTTAATCAACCAAACCTTCCTCTGTATTATTACAATATTGAGAGATGTTTATGTCGTTTTGTTCCAATGAGGTTCGGATAGATGTTTCATTTCATTCCGAACATATGATACCAAGAACGAAACAAGTGTCCGATGTGTTTTCTAAAACAATATAGAGAAAATATATATATATATATATTTCAAATTATATTGTTACCAAATGATGACCATTAAATTGACAATGTGTAAAATTTTCATAATTTTTTGATGACTTGTTTAAGAGAAACGTATGTTCAAAAAGTTCGCCATATCGATACTCATCCTTTGAAAATATTTTAGCATCACTCAAATAGTATTGACTGTGACTTGAAATACAGCTGTAAATGTTTTTCAAAATAAGTTGAAATCAACAAGCCATTGTTGACCATTAATTATTCAAATATTTGACCTTTACTGGGTAATTGAAAAATTTTAAAGGGGTACATTTTCTGGGTAACATGCTTGGATTTTACGTTTGTGTTTAAGTTCTTACCTGTTCGGCATTTTAAATGATTTTGTTTGTATGTTAGTAGCAGATAAACCAAGTAGTGGACCAAGGGCAAATAGCCTAACGAGTTTATCAGGCTCGGGACAGTCATCGGCTTTGTTTTCTGTGCTGGGGCTCAGTACTCCGTGTGGCTACTGGGTTATCACACAGACAAGTACTCGGGAATATGCTGGCTCATGGGATCCATATGGGATTCGATTTTGGAACAATGCCGAAGCGGGTGCTTCTCTTAAATTTCCCATAAACAATGGCCGGAATGACAAAGAACCTGGCTCGTAAGTAACTGAATGTTCGGATCCGATCGCTTCTTATTTAAGTTCATTTTTGACAAAGATTACACAGGCGATGGCGTCCAAAGAAGTATTGCTTTAATGTATTTAATGTTATGTTCGCAATGTTTTAGTTGGGACGCATATGGTGTTATCCAGCGTTCATATATTCCGTTACCGCCCACGTGGATAAGACTCTCAAACGAATCGGGCAAATCCGTGAACGATATGGACAACTGGAAAGTAAAGAGGGTAAATAAACAAAGATTAAACTATTCCTTTCTGAGTTCATTCCTCCAAGACATACGATTATCTCGAGGCTAAATACGACATTTTCTAACCCTTTAATGGGTTATACAATGTGTCTACAAAGTTTATTTACAATCCCAATTCAAAGTTTGCCTACACCGTAAAGCGATCTTACGAATACCCCTTGTTGCCCTCCGAAAAGATGCATGTAGTAGCCATGCATATCCCCGGTTGGGGTCATAGACTGTGGACTACTCTGATAATTGCAACTTCCATTTTTCATGGAAGGTCACACATTCCAACATATTTCAAACAGTCTGTATGATTATGCTAGGCACTTTCTGGGTAGTTGGACTTCATGTAGGGGTGGCAGACGGCCCTCAGGCCAATTCATACCCCCACCCTAAGAAAACCTTGGGGGTACTTTAATACCACCTGATAAAAAGAATACTAATGCATGTCATATATTCATAGTTTTATAGAAGGCAGAGCATACCATGGTTAGTCAGTGCCAGAAATGTCCAATCTCTAACTTATATGGTTACCATGGAAACAGTATTTATATCTCAAAATCTTCTCAATTTGACCTCCTCCAAAATATGTCCCTTAGCCCTCAAAGTGAAATATTTGCAAATTTGTTTGGATTTTGTGGCTGCAACTTTGTCAAAAGTTGTATAAATATGTATATATTCACACTAAAGCACTAAAAAGTTGATATAATGCTCCAATAAATCAATAATATCTATCAAATATAGTCACACACTACTACTTTAAGGGAAAAGTGGGCGTGGCACTTTTTGGAACTTGTGTAATTGTTGCAGCATTAAGCAAAAAATACATATTACACTAACAATAATTGACATTTAATTATCATTTACTAACATTGTGTAACATTGTAATATGTTCATTATCATTATTAGATACTTAAATTATTTTATGTAAGTGTTATCATGAACTTTCCTTTTATCCCTATACCATACAAGGTGGGCATCACCAATGGTGTCAAACTAACTTTTCTGTTTAACTTATTTTTTACCATAGACAAGGGAAAAAGCTTTACTTGAAGTCGGTGACCTCATTAGGTGCTATGTATATGGATAGATGGATTGATACTAGTCGGTAGATCGCAGCACTTGTGCTAGTTGGGCTAGATACAAGTATTTACCATTGACTTGACATGTGTCACTTAGTCTATTGATTTACCATATTCGTTCTGTTGGATTAAAGTAAAACTGCATTTGCATTGAATTTGATGATGTTCAGATTGTGTTTGAAACTTGATGATAATCAGAAGTGTTTGAAACTGGATGTTGTTCAGATTGTGTACACATGAACTTTAATAGGACCACTGAAACAATAAGTCAATGTTTAAGATTCTTTAAAATTATCTCAATGAGAATTTAGCCTGTTAACCTATAGTTAAACTACACTTCAGCAAGATTTCGAAGCTATATAACAAATCTCATAATTTGAAACTTTTTCATTATTTGATAATTTAACCCATTATTCTTTATTGCTGATTTAAAAATTGCAAGGAATTCAAATGACCTAGGGAAGCCAGTGATATGAATTGGCCTTATTCATTGAGTTACATTAAAATGGAAAATTGTGAAGAACAAGAGAACTGTTCCACGGCTTCACAGGAAATATGGAAGCAAAGTCAACAAGGGATGTGGGAACTAGGCTGTTAACATATAGAGATTTAGAACTCTCCAGGGAAGTGTCTCTATTTGGTATAAAATACACAGATTCATGCACACCATTTTAAATATGAATCAAAATTAGTGATATCCATGTTTCTGGTGAAAGCATTAATTGAAAGAGACAAACATCCTACCCCAATGGTATAAAATATAAGGAAGTTCGAAGCAGTAAAAAGGTATTACCATTTTAGATTTGATTGAACAAATTGAATCAGAGGCAATTTTTAAATTTCGATATATTAAAAGAGGCTCTCTTGGTTAGATGGGAGAATTAGCTGCATGTTAAAGGTGCCGCTTTATTCAGTTTATAACAAAATTGATATTAAGCCCGAAACAGTAAGAAATGTTAAGCAAATATTTCATTCTATGGAGGGCAATACCTGTTCATCTTTCAATGATTTTTGCAATATGTATTGCCCGCAGCCCGTAGGGCGATGGTAATACATGTTGCAAAAATCATTGAAAGTGCAGTTGTCAGAATCCCCAGGCGGGCAATAAGCTGGACAATACGTCTTTTAAATATGGAAATAATTCAGTGAGCTGTGAAATATGCTGGTATTTTTAGTCACATGGTTCTGAATTAGCCAATCAAATCACACGATTTATAGCAATGATGCAATAATTAGTGCTACTTCCATGAACACCCGTTTTGTAGAATAAGATTCTGATTCTCGTATTTGGTATATATATGAATTAGACAAAGGCAAATCCAGTCGAACATCTTGTTGAGCATCAAACAAAGTTACAAGCTATATATCATTTCTCAAAATGGCCACTTTACTGAAGAAATTGTCAAAAGATTATATGTATCATGTTTTAATGTATTTACGTTTAAATATAGCTGTCTTAATAAGTACACATGATGAAAATACAGGCACAAACAAAATGCATACTTTCTGAAACCCTGCGTTTGGATATTGATAAATTGAATGATATTGGCTAAAAACTTCTGTCAGAATTGAAACAATATTTCCCCAAGAAAAGTCAACATTTCAAAACAACAGCAATAGCTAGAACTATCCTATTTAGATGTTTACTTGACAGTATGGAAAATTGGGGAAGCCTGACAGAGAATCATAACAGATAGAGGTAGAAAGATTTGATAAAGAAAATGAAGTTTTGGTGTGGGAGGGGGGGGGGGCTTGTAATTGTATACTTGTTTATAAAATTGATAAAATGACATATTCTAGACAAGGATAGGCATTTGAGGGATAATGACTCATAAACTTACACAATGGAGATTTGGGGTAGTAATATGGAACATATGTTATATGGAAACTGTAACCTTATAAGATCTTGTCCAGTATTTCAGTCATACCTGATTATAAAGGACCATTGATGTTACAGCATCAGGGCATATTACATATAATATTTAATCATGACCATCATTTCTACTGTGCCAAAATCATTCAACCAATTTTAAAATGGAATACGAGAACAAGATTTCTTATTTTAGGTTATATTCATATCATTATGTCTAATAATATTTGATATTAAACATATTAACTTTTATTGTTTTTATACACTAAACAGATTTGTTTAGATATTATTTTAAGTTTTAACATAACAAACCACTTTCCAGGTCGAAGGAATCACTAAAGGTACAGCATTTCAGAAATGTGTAAATTGTTTATATTTCATTATTTTGTGAAATACTAAAAGGAGTTTTACCCGTACCTTGTTGACCATGAGTCAATGAAGGCATTATGTAATATCTGCAAAATGATGCACTATGCAATTCATACATGGAATAATTTATTTTGCCATATTGCACCCTATGCAGACAGAGCCTGTGGGAAATATTGGGTGGGGAGCAAATGAGCGGAGGGTGCGGAGTGCAATTCATTCTATAGCGACGCAGTGTGCCTTAAACCTTTCCCAGACCTATATATTTTGAAATTATCCTTTTAATACTGAGTCCCCAGCATTCATAAAAAATGGTGTTCAAGGTACACTATCTATACAAATTATTTTTGCATCTTGGAAGCCAGGCAGTATCAGTGTGATTTTATAAAAATTCAGAAATGTTTTTCAGATATGAGCCCCCTCTAAATATTGGGTGCGGAGCAGCTCCATAAACGTAGCTCCGCACCCAATATTTAGAGGGGGCTCATATCTGAAGAACATTTCCGAATTTTTATAAAATCACACAGATACTGCCTGGCTTCCAAGATGCAAAAATAATTTGCATGGGTAGTGTATCTTGAACACCATATTTCCCACAGGCTCTGTCTGCATAGGGTGTATTGGAATCAAGTATTTTCGTTAATCCATTGGATAGATCATGCATTACCTGATGTTGATAATTGAATCAGTTAGTCAATTGTAAGACACCATTTATCCGAGAAAATCTTAGTTATGTATTAAGGCAGGGCATAACATTTCACATATCATTTATTCATGTTTACTACATCTATGGTCCCAATGTCATTTAAGCCTGATTTGGTGCAAATGTCAAAGCATAACATCAACTCTAAAGTAGTTTAATTCAATGAAAATTAAAAATATCAAAATCGACAATTACTGTCCGCCATCTTAGATGCGAAGGTTACGGCCGTTACCTTCGCTTGGTACTGATCAGTGTCGGTCCATTACTTTTCAATTGCATAAAATGGCTCTAACCCTGACAAATGTATTAATCAATTTTAACTCATAGCTCTTGATCAATGAAACTATTTATATTCTAGCTTCAAGTCAATGAATACGACTTTGACAAGCAAAAAAGACTAAGGACCTCTAGGACTTAAAAGTTAATTTGACCATTAATGACCTATGATAGGGAAGGGTCATGATAACACTTATATAAAATATTTAAAGTATCTAATAATGATAATGAACATACTACAATGTTACACAATGTTAGTAGATGCTAATTAATGTCAATTGTTGTTAGTGTAATAAGTATTTTTCATTTAATGCTGCAACAATTACACAAGTACCAAAAAGTGCCACGCCCACTTTTCCCTAAAAGCAGTTGTGTGTGACTACATTTGATAAATATTATTAATTTATGAGATCATTATATCAAGTTTTTAGTGCTTTAGTGTGAATACATACATATTAATTCAACTTTTGACAAAGTTGCAGCCACAAAATCCAAACAGATTTGCAAATATTTCACTTTGAGAACTTAAGGACACATTTGGGACGGGGTCAAATTGAGAAGATTGTGAGATATAAATACTGTTTCCATGGTAACCATATAAGTCAGAGATTGGAAATTTCTGGCACTGACTAACCATGGCATGCCCTACCCACTATAAAACGATGAATATCTGATATGCATTAGTATTATTTTTATTGGGTGGTATTAAAGTACCCCCAAGGTTTTGTTGGGGTAGGGGTATAAATTGGCCTGAGGGCCTTCTGCCACCCCTACATAAAGTCCAACTACCCAGAAAGTGTCTATTATAATCATACAAATTGTTTGAAATATGTTGGAATGTGTGACCTTCCGTGAAAAGCGAGATCCATTTCTAGAGCACTTCTACAGAATAGTCCGCAGTCTATCATATGGCAAGATGTTACAGAGATACACGTATCTAAATGCAGGATGCTTTTATAATGCTAATAAAAAGTATCAAAATATTTTTTATTGGTTTTTAAAAAAATTAAACTTCCACCAAAATTCTTGCAATTTTGTCTATTGACATTCAACTTATAATTACATAACACTCCTCGTTTTAGTATCAGCACAATATTTCATGAAACAATTATTTGTTGAATTGTCTCCAGGTAGAAGTATTATTGAGTTATCCTCATCGAATTAGACAACCTGTAAATAACTCTGGACTGGCATAATTCAAAATGTACGTTGTTTTAGGTCCTCGTGTTTGACACGTGCTTTGGGAAGATATACGAATTTGAAGCCAACTCGTGGGTGGTGCGCCGTCAGAAAAATTATCTGTGGATTGAGCGCACTTTTGCAAGTTCATTCTAATCAGCTGAAACTACAAAAATACAATGTATTATGAAATACTGATATATTGGTATAATACAATGTATTATAAAATACTGATGTGTTGGTATAATACAATATATTGTGTCACTGTTTGGTAATTATATGTAATAAAGAAGAGTAATAAAACGATATCTTGTTTGTTCGTTTCTTCAGAATATATACAAGGTGTCTCAAAAAATGTACCCAAAAGGGTAACTGGTCAACTCAACCCCAAGTCAACTCAACCCAAGTCAACTCAACCCTTAGTCAGGTCGACCCCAAGTCAAGTTGACCCTTAGTCAAGTCGACCCCAAGTCATCTCGACCCTTAGTCAACTCGACCCCAAGTCATCTCAACCCTTGGTCAACTCAACTCTAAGTCAACTCGACCCCACCATAAAAACAAATAGATGTACCTTTTATGGTATGATATTGATGAATTTTGAAAGAATGAAGAACTAAAATGCTAATTTTCCAAAATAAAATTATCAACTAGGGAAGTTTGTGCTTAACGCATTTATAATTTTTATAAATATGACATTTATTTACCAAAATAATACTTGATTAATCTTAATAGGGCTATTTACGATGCTATACATATATTTCACCCCTTCATATTTGAGCTTGTTTTATCTCTCTGAAATAAAAAATTATAATTGGAAATAGAATTATTCTATACACTTTTCTGTTATATACCGAAATTGTTGCAACAGTATTTTTGACAACAGGTAACTTTTGCAACATGTGCATTGTGCCAACATTCATCCATTACTTTGTATTGAATGATTTTATATTTTGATAATAATAATAAACAATAAACAATATGATATAGTTAAAATCTTCCTTCTGATCTATAGGCGATAGAAATGTTTATTTTTTGAAGTTAGATTTTAAAACAAGACTGAACAAACAATGGGATTTATGTTTTTCTATTTTCCATTATCTTACTCATATGTCAGGTGTCATAAACAATCAGATTGGGATTTTATGATCCAGTTCAAATCTTCATTTCATTTCACTTCAAACAGTTTATTTTCTCAATGTAATATTTTTTATGAATTAGGGAAGAAATTGTATTAATCAAATAGGATTCAAATAGGAAAGTTAACCTTTACCATAATTTTCTATTGTATTGTGACGGAACGTGGCGTCTGGGCCGAGCGGAAACCCGAGTGTCACTTAAAAACTCTCACGTGGTATGAGAGCCGGCGGGGAACGTCTGTTGGTGAAAGGATTTTGTTGTGTTGATTTTTATTATCGTTCTGCCACTGATATTATACAAGTAGAATTACAAAGAATGACAAGGGAAATGTAATTACTTTGATAAATGTAAAATGATCAATTTAAATTGGAGGAATATGTGAATGAAGAATGATGATAATGAATGGTTTGGCCAATATTTAAATTCTACAACATAGCTCCGTGAAACAATTAGAGCACACTTTGATGGCTAGAAGAGCAAAATGTAATGAACATTGAGTATCCCAGCGACTTGAGCTCCAGAGCAAAATTCTATATTCAAACTAATGGCTCCACAAATCTCAATACACAAAATGAGCAAGCAACAGGCTCCGGAGCAAAGTATAACATTAAACAAATGGCTCGGAAAGGCTCCGTACACAATAGGAGCAAGCAGCAGGCTCCAGAGCAAAATGTAGTGCTCAAATAAATGCCTCAGTCAGGCTCCAAACACAATTAGAGCCAGTAACCAGCTCCGGAGCAAAATGTAATGCTCCCAATGAATCAATAAATCAATGAGCCTCAAAGCAAAGCAGGCTCCAGAGCAAAATGCAAGGCTCAAAATTAATAGTCAATCAAGCAGGAGCTCTCAATGGGCTCCGGAGCAAAGCACAATACTCCAAATCAATAGTTAAACAGCAAAACAGGAGCTTTGAGAGCAATTAAGTACCTATTGCATATGGATTACTACTACCTTGGTTATACCAATTAAGTCACACAGCAATAGTCTTACACTACCTTGCTTCTTTGGAATAAACTCTTTGCTCCACACAAGTGAAATTGGCTCCGGAGCAAAACGTAAGGAGCAGTTTTTGGTAAGAGCAATTTGTTACAGATATGGCCAATCTTTAGACAAAAAATATGAATGTTGTAAATTGTAGCAAATATGAATGTAATGAGATTGGAGTAATTGACAGTAGCACTGGGAATTAAGGATAAAAATAATGAATATGTGAAATGTTTAAACTGATAGAAATACTGGGGATAAAGAGTTGGTAATAGCGAATGCTAGTCTAATAAATGGAATATTTGAAATAATGGACTGTGAATTGATTGAATGAAGGAAAGATGTAAAATTGAATTTATTTCCCTTATCACTCTTGAATTGCAATGGAAATAAAGCAGTAAATGTGGACTAGATTGACTCACTTTAGCTTCACTTGTTTATATCAAAACAGACACAGTGAATTTAAATGAACAAATAACAAGACTTTATTGTAATAATTACCTTATATCAGAATACATAGTCACAAGCAGCGCTGAACGACTTTCAGGCTAACAACGTATCTCCGTGTAAACGCAAGATATATCCAGTTATGTTCAATATAAATCCACGATAATACGATCACCAGTAGCACAAATATCCAGCGTAACTTAATACAGCAATAAAAATCCAAAATCTGTTATAAATCCAATGATACAATTCTGTTATAAATCCAAAATGTAATCGCAGGTTCTTACTCTTCAGCATTCAAAACTAGACTGATCGTTCTCCCGAACGATCATGAGAAAGTTTATATTTTTGACAATCTATTTCCATATAAGGAAATGCAACTATGACAACAGGTCTGTTAGCTTGCTACAATGTCAAAATAGCTGTCACATCAAAGACTAATAAACCTAGCGCTAGCCTGTCAATCAAATTACTATGTGGGAAAGTTTGAAAAAGTGTCGGCAAAATGCCGTCAGAAATATAAAACTTGACTGAAAATCACTCTTTTTAAATTACAATATCTCCTAAAGTATGAGATCAAATTCAAAGTTTAATACACCGTTTAAAAGCTCAATTCACCCTTAATTTAAGAAATAATTATTATAATTTACAGACAAATACTCTTCACTATATTTAATGAGAAAGAACATGAGTAAATAAGAACTGAAATCATGTGTGCCAGGCGGCCGGCAATTAAATAAAACCACACGTTTACACTAGTTATTCAAACTTATCTTACTCAAAAACCATTATTCCTTTTTGCATGAAATAAAAATGAATAAATTGTTAAAAGAATGTTCTTTTTAACCATAAATAAAACATAATTTGATCTTGATCAGAAAAGCATGAAAATAAAACTTGAAAATAAATAAGAAAAATGCGCTCCCGCTACAGTATGTATGTATGTATGTATGTATGTATAGCTTTATTGCCCTAAATTAATTAGGAGATACATATTATTTATATGCAAATACATAGTATAATAAAATTAACATTTGAAAAAGAACAACCTATTTACATGATGTTTGTATTATACGAGGGTTGTCCCAGAAGTAATGCACTATATGCTCTAACTTTATCAATAATTGATATTTTTCCATTAAATTTTCAGTAAATGTTCCTTGGAGACATTTTGATTATTCTAAAATAATTCATGTTGACTGGTAAAACTATATTGATGTTATAATAAAATCAAGTTGGTGTGTTTGGGTAGGGCGGGGCAGGTTATACAGTCACGTCAAAAGGAATAAAAAACTGAAAATATGAAATAATTAATCAACAAATGCCATTTGGTGAAGCTATAAGAAGTATGCTCAAAAATACGTTTTAAGATAATAAAATTACTATGAGCACATCCTAGATTTTATGAATGTATATTGCACAGTGTCCCATTTCACATTTTCTCAAAATATTGCCCTTTGCATGTTATGTACTTTTGAAGCCTGTCAGGTCAAACACTCTCGGCAATTTTTTCAACTTTGACTTGTGGAGTTTTTGCCTCTTATGTTTGGAGTTGTCATCCAGGGTCAAATCGTCTCTTTTAAAACTCTTCTGCCACCCCATAATTGTAGTTCTACCTGGTATATACTCCTTATATACTTTCTTCATGGTAGCGTTGTTTTGCGTGGCTTTGAGTCCAAGTGAAGTATGAAATAAGGCCACCAAACGCAAGGCCTCCTGTTATTTGGTGAGAATTGCAACCATTTTTGCAATTTCTTGCCTGTGACTGTATTTGAATTCGTGACAATTGAACTGTGGTATTCATGACATCACAGTGCTAAATGTCATTATTTGTACTTGGTTAACATCATACTGAATAAATTTAACAATTTCCCAAACATTTTTACCATTTAAAGGAAAGAAATATTAATAAAATAACACTTTTGATATTTTCATAATTAGAAAAATTGGTACCTGCCCCGCCCACCCCTACCCCCATGTTGTTATAGCAACCATATTGAGACTTAATATTAATGTTGGATGCTGAAACTTCAGGATATAATAGATGAAACTTCAATTGTTATATACACAAAATTTCAGCTGAATTGAAGAATATTAAAGAAAGTTAGAGCATATAGTGCATTACTTCTGGGACAACCCTCGTATATACAGGGTGGGCCAAAAAAAAAACAATACCCAACTTTAAAGCAGACTGAAAATAGCTATGTTCAATATGATACACTGATTTATATATCATGTTAAAGGTTATCCAATTTCGAACAATTTGGTATATAACACTATGTCATGAAATCAATATTAAAGTTTTATTATGCTTATTTGGGAGGCCGGGTCAGTATTTAAGGTATCCAGATTTTAGGGAGAAAATAGTAAATCTGCGGAATAATGTTAATTTTTTATTTATAGAATATCATTTTGTTAGGTGAATAAATGCTTGTATATTTGCATATTGTGTGACTAAACTTATTGTTTATGAATTTTAGTGTTGTTTATTATCAATAAGTACTCAAAGGGGGTCTGTTAAAAGACAATAAACGTATATGTGACGAGGATTTTATTTTCCAACAAGACATTGCCCGTACCATAGATCGATCTCAAGAGACATTGGCATTCCTTTGCAAACAAGGTGTCAATTTGATTGATCTCGATGCTTGGCCACCCAACAGCCCCGATGCTACATGTAATTTGTTTGATTACGATACATGGAGCCATCTCGAGGAAATGGTACAATCAAAAGCATCCAATAAACAGCTTTGATGTGCTGAAACAGAATCCCAAAGTGCTGAAATGAATTGCAACAGAAATCTCTCAATAAGGTTATTGATAGATTGTGCTACCACTTGAAGCTTATTGTTGATGCATAGGGGAGGGGGTGGGGGTATATTGAGCAATTGTGAAAATCGTTTAAATAAATAAAGTGTAAAATGTTATTAAACAACACTGAAATTCATAAACAATAAATTTAGTCACACAATGATGAAAATATCAGTATTCAAGCATGTATTCACCTAACAAAAGAATGATATTCTATAAATAAAAAATTAACATAATTCCGCAGATTTACTATTTTCTCCCTTAAATCTGGAGACCTTAAATAGCGACCCGGCCTCCCAAATAAGTATAATAAAACTTTACTATTGATTTCATGACATCGTGTTATATACCACATTGTTCGAAATTGTATAACCTTTAAAATGGTATGTGAGTCAATGTACCATATTGAATGTAACTATTTTTATCCTGATTTGAAGATGGGTATTGTTTTTTTTGGCCCACCCTGTATACATGAAATTGTGTTTCAGAGCATTGACATTCATCATGAGGATGAAGGTCCATGTTCAGTTAGACAGTCTGTTCTGTATTATCGAAGCTCTGATATTATAGTTGATTTTGACAAATTCTGCAAACTTTCTCAAATTCAACATAGAATGTTGATCACATGTAGCATTAATGCCGAGAACTGTGTCACAATCAAATCTCACCTTCAATTCAGTGCAGAAATTATCAGTTATCACACGTTTCAGCATGTGATACAGGAAATATTCCACGAAAGGTAATACTGTATCATCCACGAAAGCGAAGCTTGAGTGGTGATACATTGTTACCCGAGTGGAATATTTCCTGTATCACATAAGCTGAAACGTGTGATGACGATTTTATCACATGTCTAGGAATTATGAAGCATTTTGATTTGGACATTATGACTCAGTTCAGTACTCTGTACTCACGGTAACTATTACCATTTTTGTGTGTTTTGAAATTTCGTTTTGAAATAATATGACGTCATACCGTTGCATTCATACTTTCTTGTGAAGTAATATGACATCATACTGTTTTCTTTTAAAATATGAAACGTCATCACTGGTTGCCTCTAGTAACGTGTGAGACGGCCGTGTGAGACGGGAAAACTCACATGGTAACCAACCAATCAGATTACTGGAATTTTACATAGTATGTGATAATAGCCATTGCTCTCTGGCTTGTATGTAACTTTCAGATTTACAGTAAAATAAGAAATGTTCTACAGTCTCTGTCTCAAATGAGTCACACATTGTACATAATTTAGATTTGTTATCTCCTCCACGATATTTGCAATTAAGCATATGTTCACCAGTTAACAGTTTGAACATTATAATACAAGAAGCCATGGCTCTTGAAAATTCCTGTGCGACACACCACCATATATTAGGTTTAAGTGCATTAAAGTTCAACTTACGAAAATGATTCAGACCACTGTACATTAGGCTTTTTGTATATGTTCTCTGAAGTTGAACATCTGAGACTTTTACCAGTATCATCCTTTTCCATGCACATTTATTAATATCAGATTTGCCGTATAGAATATCACGCACATTGATTATTAACCCATATGAATCTGCACATTGAAGCATTGCTTTTATGGGTGAAAACATGTTACAGTGATTTTCTACGTTTAACAGGTAAAACATGCGGTAAACACATATCGCTTTATAGATATTTGTGAACGGTAACTTCAATAAGCTCCAAAGAAATGTCAGTCTGAGAAAAACTATGTACAAATCGACATCTAGCCATCCTAATGTCGTGGAGGACAGAGGATTGCTTGCATTCTTTGATATAAATTGAATACGCTTTCCAATGTCTCTTTGAGTATTTTCTAGTTTTATTATATCACCATTCTGATAATTGATAATAGGCGCTGCATATAGCATGCTTGGAATAGAGAATGTCTTATATAAGTTTGAGGCAGATATTGGAGTGAGCCCCCCACAACGATTACCTATTGCTAGTTGGCAGTAGTACTGCCTCAGACCTTTGTTGCAACGGTCATCTACATAATTAGTGATACAATTTTTTGTAGAAAGTGGTATTCCCAAATGAGTCAAGGACTCTGATCTTGATATTTGTACACCTCCAATTCTTAATCGCTGTGGAGCACCCAGCTCTATTTTTTCATTAAATACCATATATGAACATTTTTTAGGGTGAATACTATATCTCCATTTGTTGCTATGCCTATTGAAGGTGTTCAGCAGGATTTGCATACTTTCAAAAGAATTCGAGATTATACATGTATCATCCGCATAGCTTGGACTTACACAATTAATATGACCTACAGAAGCACCAATATCAAGGTTAGACATTTCAACAATGAGATCAGCCATATATAACTGGTAGAAAATCATGGAGAGCACCCCACCTTGATGGACCCCCTGCAGAATAGGGAACAGGTCTGAACACGTACCAGCTACCATTACTGAGCACATATATTTCTTATACATCTGATACAGTACTCTCCAGATCCTACCAACAATCCCACAGTTGTATAATTTAAGTAAAAGCCCATCGATCCACACGGAATCGAAGGCTTTTCTAATGTCCGCTACTGTAACCACAACCATTTTGTTGTGTTCAACACCATGAGCAATAGTCTCTTGTACTAATAATGAGGTGTGAACAGATGAGCACTTATCAGTTGATGCTCCTTGCAGGAGAGGAATTGACCTTAAAATCGGTGTTTTTACATATTTAAGAACAATGTTGTCAAACAGCTTTCTAAACATGGTCATTAGTGTTATACCCCGTGAGTTATCTTTTACCAAGGGGTCTTTACCTGCTTTAACAATTGAGATCATAATGCCTATGCAAAAATTCTGTGGAATGTACTCGGTTTTGATTATAGAATCATATAGTAAAGCAATGCCATGATATAAGATATCCCCACCATGTTTTAAGTGCTCGGCAGCTATTGAATCATACCCACTGGCCCGCCTACAGTGCAGTGCTTTAACAGCATCAATTACATCATCCGTGGTAATGCTCTTTATAAGATATTTTATTCTATCTTCCACTTCTAGTTTAAAGGGATTATCAAATTTTGGAGATTCAGTTGGGGTTGCAAGATTTTCAAAATGATCTTTCCATTGTTTACGAATACCATCCGGATCTGTAATCAACTCACCATCATTTGATAGCACTGGGCTCGTAGGGGATTTTCTTGATTTACGTTGCTTATTTACCAAATACCAATAGAAACGCTGGTCAGCTTGCTCGGATTGGTATAGCTTTTCCATTTCCTGCCTTTCATATTCAAATTGAGCTACATGGAAGGCCTTTTGAAAAACCTTTTTAGCATCTAAATATTGTCTTCTCACAGTATTTGTATTATTACGGGGCCTTCCATGGTTAACCCATGTATGCCATTTAGCTTTTTTATCCTTAGCTAACAAAGTTAGGTTCTGATTCCAAAAGGGCTTAACATGTCGTTTAAATTTACGTTTAGGAATATGATATTCCGAGCAGCTAATCAGCGTTTCTGCCAGAGTATTAGTGAAGTGTTCAATTTCATTATCACTTAAAGGTCTTGTAGACAGAATTTCTTGAAGTTTTAATAAAATATCATTAGAACAATGCTCAACTGACTTTGTATACGTATTTGTAATATCAGACCCAGATATTTTGTTCCATGCAAAACCCCCCGTAAAGTTGTCAGTTGTTATTTTTGACGTACACGCATCTGCACTGATACTCATGGCAGTATATATTGGTAAATGGTCAGATGAGTTATCTGGCTCATCGTCTATGACATAACATTTATCTATGTTGTTAACAAGTGATGCTGATGTAATAATATGGTCTATGTAACTGACATATTGTTTACCATTTCGAGACATTTGAAAAGTAAAATGAATATAGTCCGGAGTAGGGATACTAGCGGTTACCGTTGGTTATTTGGTTTTCTGTATAAAAAAGCTTTTCTCCTTTTCTGTCCCGTCGCAGCGCCATCTAGTGTTTGATAAATGAATCAAGGTTTATTTTCGATAGGGTAAGTACTAATCTATCAGGAAACATTGACAAGTTTGGTTAGAAACAGAATTTTTATAGATGGCGGAGTGATTTTTGAGACTATGTAGAGCAGAATAATTTTCTGAAACAGGTAGCTTTACGGTGGTAGCTCTCTCCAGATTCAGTTATCTCAAAAACGGTGTGGTCACCGTATGCTTATTTTGTAACGGCAAGCTAGACAAGACTCCAATGAACACTGGGCACTGTTTCGCTGAGCTAGATCTGTGCCCATGAATATATTATGAAATGAAACGTTATAATGGTCGTCAATGGGATTTTTTACTGCAATCTTGACCCAATTTGGACCAGTTGTGTCATTCGCCATGTCAATCGCAGTTAAAACATTACGTGTCATAAATTCAAATAGTTTCATCCCATTTAATGATGGTTGACCACTACCTCTAAAACTTGCAGTAAGATGACCGAAGTTTGCATTGACATCTGATCACCAAGGATTACAACTGAACCAGTCAGATTTGCCTCCCGGACAAACATTTCTAATTTATTCAACACATCATCATAGATATCAGTAGTACACCCTTGTTGTGGCATATAAACGGAAAAAACATAAATAGGCAAACTCTTTGATATCGACAGCTTAATACATACAATTCTATCAGTACACATTGTATTTACAGTGGTAACATACTTATTAAAAGATGTTCTCCAATAAAGAGCAACTCCACCATTGCCCCATCTCCTACCACAATCAATCTCATTCAGTTGCTTGCTACTCTTACAGAGACAGCAGAATTCAGTGTTAATAGATTCTAGCTTGCCAAGATTACAGGGATATAATTTATGTTCTGATAGGGCCATAATATCACAGCGATTCAACAATGAGTTTATATACAATGACGACACGTTAAATCCTCGACAGTTCCATTGTATGAATCGTAGAGTAGTGTTTACATGTTTGGGATCACTAGTTATGGTGTAATTCATCAGTAACAGACAGATTAAAATGTACATAGTTCTTGATATAGAAGCCATATTATTCAACATATTCATTTTGGTACATGTTATCATGCCACTCTCTATAGTTAGATGCACTATATTCGGTAGAAGATTGATGAATATCATCATAATCTAGGTCATCATGTTGCCTAGATCGTGTGTATCGACCTCGTTGGACCCATTCCCTGCACCTAACAGGGTCGGGCCATACATGGGGTTGAGTGATCATCTCTGCAGCAGACTGAGGGACGACTATTTTGCAACCAACCCGATATTCCGATACTCGGTTATGAATGACATAACATTGCATGATTCGGATGTTATTTGCCTTTGCTTGGCTAATAACCTGTCGTTTGATGTCTTTATCCTGCTCTCGATCACAGATCTCGATATTCTCGATGTAGAATGTAGCACCTCGTTCATGTTTGATCCCACTCAGAGGCCTTGACATTGGTTTAGATTGAGCTTGGGGAGCGGGGGTTTTTACAGGTCGCTGTTTGCGCACAATTGTAGACCACGAATCCGTGTTACTGGACACTGTATGGCCAACGACAGGGATAAGCTTCGGAGTTTCTTTATTTTCAAAAGTTTTATTCTTGTCACACTATGGGACTGATGGACGGGTAGGGGTCGCTACCCGACACTGCCCGGGTGCAGATACGTTTCGAGAGCGGCAAGTTCCTCTGCCTCGACCAATGGAGGGTAATTTAGGCTCGGTAGTGATGTTGGCATTTTTATCATTTAGTGGTGTAGCCGCGGTATGTATGACCTTTGGTTGGTGAGTTTCTGTTTTATCATTGGACTTCGTAGTTTCTGTTTTATCTTTTGACTTTGTAAGATGATTTATCTTATCAGTCAGCATTTGTATATCTTTCGCATGAGTTTTTCTCATAGACTCAATGGTATCCGTGAGATCGATTATTTTCTGGGAGAGTTCTATTATCTTCATACCATGTTCTAGAATAACTGCCTTTGGAACATCTTCTGTCTTTTTCACTGGTTTATGTACATCGGGGACATGACTTTTAGCTCCTACTACACCTCTCGGGAAAATGTCATAAAAGTCTGAATTATATGCATACAGTTCGTATATATCATTACATATACTTGTCAGCCTTTTGTCGCCAACACGTCTCTTTAATGATAAGGCTTCCTCCGTTTGTTCTTGGCCCCTTATTGACGTAGGACCATATTGCGTATTTAAATCTTTTGCCAGTTTTTCACAACTCACTGTAAATAGTTTTTCACGTGTTTCATCTAAAATCTCCTCATCAAAGTCTAGTATAAGACTCTCTATTATAGCGTGTCTAGGGTTACAATCCATAGATTCCAGGATCACTTCTACGCATGAATTCAGATCAGCCATACTTCCAGTGATCGTTATTATACACTTGGGAATGTTTATTTGTTATTGTTTACATCGTACTCTGACGTCCGCGCCAAGTTAGAGGTCACTAAGTGCATTCGTTTGTGCAGCTGTTTTCCAAAACCAGCAAAGTCCCATGAACACGAATACAGAGGAAATATATCGCTAAATTATATAAAGCAGCATGAACTTACAGTTTATAGGTGATATCCATATATTAATCCAAAATTATGTTATTATATTGTATTTCTACGCATAGGCTAGACCCGGTCAAAAAATTGGCGGGAATAAAATACAGGGGCGGATCTGGTAACCAACAAGGGGGGGGGGGGCCCAAACTTGGGATCAGAGAAAAAAACGGCCGCGCTTGCGCGGAAAAAATTTTTGGGCCCCTAAAACCCAAAAGTGGGCCCAAATTTTGAAATTTTGAGGCCCATTTTCTTCAAAATTTGGCCTGAAATTAAAAAATAAGGCCTTACAAGGCCCAGTAATGATCAAAAAGGCCCACTTTTTGGGGCCTTAAGGCCTTTTTTGGCCCACAATTTTTTTTTTGGCCCCCAGGCCCCCCCCCCCTAATCCGCCAGTGAAATATGTCAGGAAAATCCTCTTTTCAAAGCAAAAGCGTCTAGCTATCGCCAAGTTTTTGTGATATATTTGAGGACTGTTACTCCATTTACGTTTGTATCACATTAAATCCACTATATGTTGGCTGAGTCGGCGGCATCCAAGGTATTTTCAGGAGAGAAGTATCGATTGAATCCGGCCATTTTGATCACGTGATAAATCAAATACTATCAAAATATTAAACGAAGTACTATTTAATGATATATTATATTGTATTTTAATCTACTTAAAACAAGTAAAATCATTTGGGTCGACTTGACTAAGGGTTGAGTTGACCAAGGGTTGAGATGACTTGGGGTCGAGTTGACTAAGGGTCGAGATGACTTGGGGTCGACTTGACTAAGGGTCGACTTGACTTGGGGTCGACTTGACTAAGGGTTGAGTTGACTTGGGTTGAGTTGACTTGGGGTTGAGTTGACCAGGAAGCTTGATAAGCCCCAAAAGTATATCAAGAGCACAGATAAACCAATCAATATTTTCAGACATTTTTTGCATGGTCATGTAGCCAAAACATGAAAGTTTTCTTCCCAATACACCATTTTTATTTCAGTCTTGTCTTTTTGATGCTTTAACCCTTTATTTTTTACACCTCATAACCGATGTAACCTCATATTTCTATGGCAGCCTGTATCCGTACTGCTACGTTGTTCATCACATTTGATAGTTTAGTTTAGTTTATTTATTTATTTTTAGTGGTCAGTTTTACAATTTTTTTACAAATATAAAATATAAAAAATTAATTACAATTTTACCCAGCCCACCTTGGGCTTATTAACCACTGTTAACAATAGAAAATACAAAATTAATGCACGAAAATCAATATCACAGGTTGTAAATGAATATCCTTCTCCGCACAAAAGCCATCTTAATAAATTTAACAAGTTAACAGGTACGTTCCCTAAAAAGAAATTCAATTTTGCTACCTTCATTATCCAAATCTTTAAAATCTACTTCATCAAAATATGTTTTCTCAGATCATCATATCTATTGCAATGGAATAAAAAATGTATTTCTGTTTCAACTGAGTTACCGTTACATAATATACATAATCTTTCCTCCACATTTTCGCCCTTAAATCTGCCTGTCTCTAGCCTAAGTAGCAAAATACCTAGTCTAAACTGAGCTGCTAGACTTCGCTTAAATTTTGAAAAATTCAATGTTAGATACTTATCTACTTTATACACTTTTTAAATTTTACATAAGTGCGCAATTTTGGCTTAGCCTTTATTGCTACTTCCCACGCAGGTACATAGTTTCCCATTAAAGATGTTTCTAACATTGAATTTTTCAAAAATTAAGTGACGTTCTGCTAATGGTAGTCTAACCCTACCAACACCCACACTGCCATCTATTTATCCATTTTTTATATCGATATAGGAAATGGTCGATTCAAACATGGGCTTTAAAGATATGCTATACAGATATGTAGGTCAGTATTACATAATCGTGAAAGGAATAAGTCTGAATATATCATTGGTCAGAAAACACTAAAACCTGCTTGAAACTGTAAAAGTTTATACACTCTATTCCACACTGTATAGAAATGAAATAACTTACACTATAAGTAACGGTGAGCCAATCATTGCATAGAAAAAACTTTATGCACTGTTTATAAGATTCACTGAGACAAGTGGGTCAATACTTCATGTACTTTATGTGCTCTCACACAATTACCTTCCCTTGCATAAAGTTGCTGTACAGTTATATGTAACTGAATATTGTATATTCATCACAAACAACCTTAGCAAAATGATGGTTCGACAAAATGGACGGTTCGCTAAAACCAATAAACCAGGCAATCCAGGCCAATTTGGAAAGAAACTAGATAACGTGATAGCGAATGAAGATAGTAAGTGAAATATATTTTGCAAAGGTCAGCTTGTAAACTACTGGGTAACCCTAAATGATGAGAAATATGTACAAAATATGTTTTGCATGATTTATTCATATCCCAATGATTTAACTCCTTCACTGCATCTAATAAGGTATATACTTAGGTGGTTCAAAAAGTTTTGCAGTTGATGCCATAACTTAAAGGAAAATAGGACTTTTACAATGAAACTTGGTACACATATGTGTTATACATTTATACATTATATGTTAAAAGGAAGAGGTGCGATTATTGGCAAATACCCCTATGGTCAAAATGAATAATTGTTAGGTGTAACATGAAGAATAGAATGTCATATAACTCTTTGGAAAATATTAAAATGCTCGGGCACACATAGGCTGAGATAGGGGCCATTTAGTTTAGTAAGGTTGTATTGCCTTACATGGGGCTGTGCTTCATTGACTTAACATGAGGATATCAGCAGATCCTCATGTTGGTTTCTATTGATTATCACACAAATACCAAAAATACACTATGACCTGAATCGATTGCAAACTTAATAATTTCACAATATGGCACTAATGGTTTATCCCATCAAATGTGCAAATATGAAGTTTGCAATCGATTTAGGTCATACTTAAAATTAAAAGATTGTACTTTTTTTCATCATTTTTTCCCTACAAAATGGCTATAGAAAAATGCTCCAAAAACAACTTTTACACTTATCAAAAAGCATACAACTTTGTAAAACCAAAGAATATACTATTTTATTTCATTATGTAGTAACATATTTGGATAAGATGTAGGGATGCGTAGGATGCAAATGGATTTTGACAGACACAAAAATACTTCCTGGTTTGGAATCATATGCCTCTACACTTCATGATTGAATTATGACCCTAATAAGTGGCCTATACATCAATACAGTGCTGAATATAGGTCAACAAGATACTAGTGTGCATATAAATGTAATAATTAAAGCAGAATACTCATTTTGAAAAATCAGATGAATTATTTTTTTCTCATGGGGAGATCCCAATGGAGGGTGTATAAGGTCCTTTGGGACCTCAATTTTGATTGGTTCTTGAGAGATGGTTGCTAAGGTAACCAGAGTGGTGGGTACCATGTTCAACCCGAAATTACGTTTTTCCAAATAGTTTTCTTGCTTGAATAAACTATTTGCAAAGTGGCAATTAGCAGGTGTAAGTGTCTTTGGGTGGCTATTTTTGTTCAAATTCTTCAATTTTTTGCCAGCTGTCAACACATTCTGGCAATGCTTTAATTTTAATAGAATTATTTTAATATTGTACTAACTGTATAATATGTAGTTTGCATTACTGTTGATAAATAAATAAATGATTGCACTGTTCAGTAAAGAAATATACCAATTGTATTATTTAAACTGACTATACACTATAGAAATGATTTCATTGAAAAATCAAATCAGTACCAAAATTATGGTTACCCTGTAGTAGTGAAAGGCACATTATAAATGAAAATCACCCCCTTCAATCTATGTTTACAGGTTTTTATGATTATTTCAGATTTTTCTATAGTTTGCGTAACCAGGACGGTGAATTTTCTTCATTTTTCATCAAACATTTTGTCTTACCAATATTTATTATATCTGTCAATTTTATCAAAATCGCGCCGCTACGTTTGAAAATAATTCAAATTATGTAGTTTTTCCATTGAGCTCCATTATAAAAATGGAATTTTCAAACTTAATATTTTAAAATTCTACGCGGTGAAAAGTTGCATATTGAGTAGTTAGTTAATGTTATGGTGTTAAAAATTCAAAACAAAAAGGAATAAAGAAAAAATGCCACAGAGAAGTCTCAATAGAGTCTCTTTAAAAAGCCATGATTCAAAGGACGAACGACAACCGCAAGGTTTCTGTCACCAAAAATCCAAAATTCACCATGTGGAACTAAATGTAACTGTAAGCGAACGTGGTGTCAATGGCTTTATTAAATAAGAATAAATTGAATGTATCTTTCTGCTGTTCTACATCAGCATTTTATCTATTCAGAGAGAATATAATATTTTATCGTATGATCTGTAAAATGAAGCCTTCTGATTGGTCAGTTCTTGTGCTGTACCATTCTGTATTGCTACTGAGATTGTCCCCATTGATCATCTCCGTTGCAATACAGAAAATGTTGGTGCGGAGGGGACATTATCAGAAGCAATACAGAGGATCACACGATAAAAACGTTATAGAATGATTTGAAGTGCCATACAGGATATATTCTGCTCTCGATATTCTGTTTTGGCACTCGACTTCCTCTCGTTCCAATACGGAATTTTTCGAGCAGAATATATCCTGTATTGCACTTCAAATCATTCAATAACTTATAGAGACTATTATTCATGAATAAGTTGATATTTTCTGATTGAATAATTTTAAATAAATGGATGTAGACCATTGGAATATACTAGATGCGAGTTGATATAATCTTGATTTACATCTAATACAGTCAAAGTGATCATATCAAATATGAAATCTACATGTACAATTACTCAGATGCAAGGAGGTAGTTGCCAGTTTCACCATCAGGTGGCTCATTCGGGTCAGATAGCACGGCAGGTATGGTAAAACGTTCCCTTTAACTTAAATATTGTCAGTTTTAGTTGTTCAATTTTCATATCACCCCTATGTATCTAATGATTATGCAAATTACAATATGTCCAGTAAAAGAAAGTATCCTACACTTAGTGTGCTAAATGTATAATAACATTAGAAAATACAATTGATATATATTGGCAAAATGAATAACCGGATGATAACGCAACGATATACTCCGGAAAACGAATATGCGGAGGATATCTTGACGATAAACTCCGGAAAACCCAATATGCGGAGGATATTGTGACGATAATATTAATAATATACTCCTGTTGCTTTTCCACCAAATTGACGCTATTTGGCATGAAATTCATTTTGAAAGGTATATTATATATTTAGAACACTTCTTATAAGTGTAGGATAATAAGAACATCCAATGATTTTTTTTCAGAATATCATTTTAATCTACTCGGAGCTACGTTTATGGAGCTGCTCCGCACCCAATATTTAGAGGGGCTCATATCTGAAGAACATTTCCGAATTTTTATAAAATCACACAGATACTGCCTGGCTTCCAAGATGCAAAAATAATTTGTATAGATAGTGCACCTTGGACACCATTTTTTATGAATGCTGGGGACTCAGTATTAAAAGGATAGTCTCAAAATATATAGGTCTGGGAAAGGTTTAAGGCACATTGCGTCGCTATAGAATGAATTGCGCTACTATTTACACAATTGTATTGATATTTGGTGTCAAATACACATATCTTGGTATATTTGAAGTCCCAAAACGGCTTAGTTTCAGAAATATCCCAAATTTAAATTCAAAAATAACCGTTAGCTCCGCACCCTCTGCTAATTTGCTCCGCACCCAATATTTCCCACAGGCTCTGTCTGCATAGGGTGATTTTTAGATGTACTTTTACATGTAGATTTCAAATATGATATCACTTTGACTGACCTTTGAATGTTTTATGACGTAAATCAATATTATTTCTACGCGTATCTATTACATCTAGAAATGTGGTTTTGAAAAGTGTTTATCAACTTTGAAATTAAATTTCTTTTAAAATGTGATTTTTCGGTCAGGGAAATTCCCATAGACCTCATTTTTTTAAAAACCATAAAATCGAAGTATCTTTTCTTTTATAAGACAAATAAGTTCATTAACTTCATCAATTTCACATCATGTGACCCTGAATAAGCCACTAAAATACAAATGGGGTATCATAATAAAATACTATACATGTATTTTACATGTAGTTAAAGTATTTCGGTCCGATTGAGACCACGTAGTCTACCATGGGATTGTATTCCCTAGGAGAATATTAGGGAATAAGATACGCCAGACAATATTTTCTATTTCGGAAGGACTAGAAATATTTTATACCTGTATTACAAAAACTACACAAGTGGTAGGAGACACATGCCATTTAGTATATTTCATTGGAACTGTTTCGTTTCCGTAACTATTAAACCAAGATGTGAGCCCGTTTTCGTATTTTAGTGAGTTCATTTACGTAACTTAAGTGAGGAAGTGTGTCGATGGTTTTGGAGTCTTACGAAGTGATTCGTTCGCAAAATCTTACATTTTGTGAAGCATAAGACCATGAAAAACGGTTGCGCCATTTTGTTATAAAACGGATCCGTTTTCGTAGTTCGCTTAATGAGTTCCTCCACAGTAAAGGTGACACAAAAAGTGCTCTAAATGTCGTCCATTATTTTGCAGCCACACTTCTGGATTCTACGGGCAAAGTTATTGACCATTTTCACCTGACTTGAACCCTCCAGATTTTTATGTCTGGGGTTACTTGAACAGACCCTCAAACCATAGAAGACCTGAAAAGAGAGAGATCACCAGAAAGATCAGGGTCATTTCTGTGGGGAACGTGTTGGGGCCGTCGAGAACTTTGCCTATAGGATCCAGACGTGCCTGACATTTAGAGCACATCTCGTAATGTTCATAAGAGTTGAGTTGAGCTAGTCATCTGAAACTTTTTCTGCTCCATGGAGTCTAGTTTTAATGTACTAAATAAGTCAGAAGTCATGGAGACAAACAAGTAATGCAACACACTGTTTGTGTCATCCTGTGTAGATGGCCATACTCCATAAAACATTACATATCGAATGCCATTACAAATTAATCATTCCATATAATTTTTGTCACGTTTTATATACTTTCCCATACAAACTTCCCATTAAAGTAGCATTGACAGTGACCTACTGAATGCAATTGTTTTGCTATTTGAATTGACTTGCATTCGCCCATCGCCTACAAACAGGATTACATTCATTAATTATTGTTGTGATGTTAAAATGTTATTGTTATAAAGAACATATAATTGTTATTCCATTATTCCCAATGTACAATAAAATGTTAAAGCCAGAGTTGATCAAATAAAATATACGCTCAACCATTGATATCCATTGAAAATATTCATTAGTATGGTAGTGGTAAACATGTATTGTATTATTTTTGTAAAACTATGGACCTGGTGCCCTTTACTTGTTTGAAATAAACTGAATTAAACTAACTATTAAATTGTAGCAAATACTAACAATGTCCAGAGGAGGTTCGTTTCCAAAGTTCATAGTATGCCATGGTCTTTAAGTTTCAATAACTTTGGTGGAACACTATTCGTGTATGAAATCACGTGTACATATTCTGCACGTTGATTGGTTTATTAGGCCCAATGTGCACTAAAATAATTCTGGGAGCTGTTTCTTCCTTTAATGTATATGTTTTTTAAATGAGCAGAAAACATTTATCAATTTTTTAGATTAGCATATTTATTATCCATATTTGTTATATATACACGAATCGGCGTAGTATGATCGCACATGGAATTCAGAAACAAACCTTACCTGAGAGAATGCAGTTTTGTACTTTGCTTCTTATCGTAGCATGCTGCACGTCGGTTGTGTTGGCAGGTTAGTGTCATTTTCATATTAACTTCAATGATGATATTTTTCATTTATAAATATAGATTTCAACAACATCAACAACAACATGGTCTCATATCTATATATTATAGTGCAATCTTAATTGCGACCTTTATGACTTTTGGGACCTTTTGTGTTTATAAAGAAACTATTTATATCAAAAGAAATCTATCTATCGAGGAGCTGATCAACATTTTTATTGAATAAATTTGATATATGAATGCCTATAACAAAAATTGATAACATTCATCGGGTAAAGTATGTCGGGTACTCCACATAATGTGTCTTTAAAAAGGTTGAGATGGCGAATCAAATGGTGAACTGACACTATGCTAAATTGGTCACACATAAAATAATGCACCGGAAAATCAGTTATTTTACACAAAATCGCTTATTTTCAGAAGTGAAATTAATTAGTATATTTAAGAAACGGATTGAATGATATTAATAATATATGGAATTACTCGTTGAAAAATAATTTAACAAAAAAAGAGAATAGAAGTCTAGTTCTCAAACTATAATGAAAGCTAAAAGTAGGCCTCAGCCCCAATGTCTGTCAAAGTTATTTTTGTTTCTCCGTTTTTTAGCTTGAGCCACGTATAAATTACATTTTTGGCGTAAAAATCAAGGTGATTGGGACTGAGGGGCAAAGTTATGATAATTTGAAGATCATGCCAATAAAAATGAAATTCCTAAAATATTGATAGTTACCTTGTTTCTTATATTGTAGAAAATGCAAAGTTATTATTAGTTATTGCTCTGTTTGATAAATAATCATTAGCATATTGAATTATCTTTCCAATATTATTTATTTCATGAAAATCCATTAAGTAAAAAGCTGTTAATCGCTAAGTATTCGCGAATCGCGTTTGAGATAAAATGTTTTTTTCTAAACATGCTTGATGAATACCTCTGAAAGGTACCGTCCCAACAGACCCCCTTTTCTGCCCACATCAGAATCAAACTTATTTTGCATCTAGAGTATCCTCACAAATGTACTTCACAATAATATTTCAAAATTAGGTCAAATGATGAGCCAATGAGGTCACTTTGTGCAAAAAGGTCAAGTTGGTAAAATCAATCGAATGATCAAGTAATTTCCTTAAACATTAATAAAAAAAAATCATGAGTGAAACCTGACATTAAGTTTATTTCCATGGGGAATAGGTATCTTAATAGCCTTTGAGTAGTATTTGCACCATACTTAACACAAGGAAAATGTTTGAATTTTTTAGTCAAAATACATGTACTGGTATACTGTCAAAAAATTGTATTGTAATATATTTTATATTAATATTCTAAAGCGTTGATACAACATATTAGTATTTATTGAATTTCTATGGGTACCAATAGGTACAGATGCTGAAAGCTGAATGTACGGTTTCTAAGGGGTCGGGTCAAAATATCGATGTCCGTCAAAAAACATAATTGATTTATTTAGGTCTAAACCACCCCTCCTCCTTGTAACGAACCCAAAAATCTTGAAAATTGAAATTCCCAGGAAAACGAAAATCGATTTCCGTCACCTAATGAAATCAGTGTTTGACCCCCTCCCTCCTAATGAAATTAATTACGTTTTTCGATTGACATCGATATTTTGACCCAACCCCTAACAGATATTTTAGTTATTTTAAAACTATTCCATGTCAGTATCACTATCCTCAGATAAAGGCAAGTCTTTGGCATTATGGAGAGAGTCACCTAGGAAATCTTTTGAAAATTGATAGCCTTCATGTCTGGCAACGTTTTGATAGGTGGCATTGTATCCAAAATGGTGGCAGAAATGTTTTAGAAAAATACCAAAGAAGTCCAAAAAACTAAATGACCTATGTTCTCCACCACTTTTTTTCAAAAATCTATAATTGCGTTTTCATGAAATTTTCCAAGTCCTTCAAGGGATCCCAATAAGACTGTACCTTTTTGCGTATTTCGGAATGTTTAAGCGAATTGTCATAACAGAATTATGATGATTCCTTTTTCGAAATTTTAGATATTTTTTAATTTTCCCTACCCCAAATTTTTCAGTTTTACTAATTCGATGTATTTGCCGTTGCTAGGACCAAGCGTGTATTGAAATAATACTACCAATACAAGCATTCACCTAAATGTTCTTACTAAATCACCGTTTGTTCTGGAAAATCACAGACTTAGTATTATAAAAAAAGGTTGCAGACATTGAGGTTAATAATAACAAATGAGGACAAAACAAATCCCGAAATGTGTAATGATGATGGTTGAAACGCCCTTTTTGTAATAATATAGGCAGAGGAAAAGGGGGTCGAAGGAAGACAACACCAGCGCCACCACCGCCTACAGCAGAAAAACCTTCAGAAGATCACCCTCCGGTAAAAACTCATCACGTGAAATCAGGTACGTTGTAACACTGTATGTCTTCATTTTTTGTTAGATCATTTTCACTACAGTCGTCTTTCCTCATATACTCTAGTGTAAAGCTTACATTCTTTCATAATACTATTGTTTTCCCTGGGAAATAAAATCGTATTGTCCCTCTAAAAATCGTATGTACTCGAAAAATCGTATTGTCCCGGAAAAAATCGTATATACTATATACTCGAAAAAGTATTGTCTCGGAGAAAAATCGTATTAGGATCGTATTCACTGAAAATTGATTTGGTGAAAAAACTATCTTGGAAAAGTATTATAATCCTGAATCTACCAGGGAGACTAGTAGCAGTTCATCATAGAATGGTCATAGTGCATCATGTGGTTCAAATTGTATCACTTTCATAGCCTATTAACTTGTAACAGGGCCATAGAAAAATTGTATTATGGAATAGAAAGGTAATTGCAATTGTAACGGCCCAGTATTGAACCTGGGACCGTTTCTTAGTAAGTTGTATATAAGTTTGGTGTTCATACTTACTTTTAAGCCTGGGTAAAACTCTGGCACCGCTTGTTATTTTAGTAAAATTAACTTATCTTTGGTCAATTTCAAATTTTCGTATTTTTTTTGTTTTTCCGCCATGTTTGTTTACGTTCGAAATCTCTAAGACGAGATTTCATTTGTTCTGTTATGTTCGGCTACTTACTCTTATTTAATTCACTTCACACCAGCTCACACACTTTGTCAGTATTCACTTTACTATACTTAATATCTTTCGCCTTATAGAGGTGATTGTTACCCCTTATTTCTCAATTTTGCCAGTTTTGACTTCTATGTCAAGGGGTCTCTTCTCGCGAGATCATTGTGAAACGTGTTGTTCTGATCAAGAAGACGGATTACTTTCGCTCGTACTCGTATCCAGTTGTTTCCGTACTAGGATTATTTCGTAAACGTATAACTATGGCCGAGTTGACGTTGGGTGTTGCTGCGCCTGAACAGGTAGTTATATAGGCTAATTTTATTGTATTTAGCCAACTTTTCATACATTGAAGTGAACGGTCATTTTGAGTATATTTCCACACTTTTGCATCAATTCTTCCTTGTTTCTGTAGTTTTGAGCCTTTGAGGGTGGGTGAGACCCACTATTACAGACCCATACGACCACCCAGCTAAGACAGGAACGTTTTGATACCGATTTTAGTGACTTTAGTGTGAAGAGCTAGGTGAATTTATAGCCTTATCTAGCATTTTCCAGCCTTTTGTAGCTATATCAGCTCTTTCTAGCTCCAAGTGACGTCATTTCTAGCTATTATCAGCTAAGCTCCCCTGCTAGCCTTTTTCAGCCAATACATTACAAAACTAGTGCCAGGGTATTGAGATACATAGCATATGTAGTAGTGACAACTTACCATTGAGTGTGTATGTATTGATTGTATATATGTTAATCAGTTAACTCTTGAAATAGAGTAAGTAATTTGTTAATTGGTTGTTTTGTTTATTATTAGTGAGTGTGGAGAGAACTCACTTATTCCCCCTCCCATTTATATTTGACTTCTATTAACACAATCTATATACATAACCTCTAGCACAGTCCCATATATTAACTACAGGTGTATCAATATTGACCCCCCCCCCTCCTCCAGTCACCTAGGTACCTTGCTAAATTTGGCTAGAACCCCCGATACGCTAGAAGTGGCTAGAATATCCGATGCGCTAGAAGTGGCTAGAGTACCTGATACCTTTTGTAATATAGTCGCATGCACATAGGTCCCTTGCTAAATTTGGCTAGAACCCCCGATACGCTAGAAGGGGCTAGAATACCCGATACGCTAGAAGTGGCTAGAATACCCGATACGCTAGAAGTGGCTAGAGTACCTAATACTTTCTTTGATACAGTCGCATGTACATAGGTCCCTTGCTAAATTTGGCTAGAACCCCCGATACGCTAGAAGTGGCTAGAATACCTGATACGCTAGAAGTGGCTAGAACCCTCGATACGCTAGAAGTGGCTAGGGTACCTAATACCTTCTGTAATACAGTCGCATGTACGTGGGCTCCTTGCTAGAAGTGGCTAGAGTACCCATCTTCTTAATTGAGACTATTGCATGCACATAGGTACCTTGCTAGAAGTGGCTAGAACACTCATCCCCTCAATTGAGACTGTTGCATGCACATAGGTACCTTGCTAGAAGTGGCTAGAATACCCATCCCCTCAATTGAGACTATTACATGCACATAGGTATCTTGCTAGAAGTGGCTAGAACACCCGTCCCCTCAATTGAGACTATTACATGCACATAGGTATCTTGCTAGAAGTGGCTAGAACACCCCTCGCCTTAATTGAGACTATTGCATGCACATAGGTACCTTGCTAGAAGTGGCTAGAACACCCATCCCCTCAATTGAGACTATAACATGCACATAGGTACCTTGCTAGAAGTGGCTAGAACACCCATCCCCTCAATTGAGACTATTACATGCACATAGGTACCTTGCTAGAAGTGGCTAGAACACCCGTCACCTTAATTGAGACTATTACATGCACATAGGTACCTTGCTAGAAGTGGCTAGAATACTCATCACCATAATTGAAGCTATTACACGAACATATACACCTTGCTAGAAGTGGCTAGAACACCAGATACCTTAAGTGATACAGTTCCATGCACATAGGTACCTTGCTAGAAGTGGCTAGATTACCCGATACTTTAATTCAGGCAATTGCATACACATAAGCACCTTTCTAGAAGTGGCTAACACCTCCAGTAAAACAATATTAGTAACACCCATTTATTACACTAATTGAGTATATAAACCATAATTTAATATATATTTACTCATAAAATACCTTTGAAATATATCAATACTTCGATAGCAATCCACAATACACACGCTACCATTACAAAGTAGTGAATTGTTACACAATATTACAGTGACACTCACTCACATATTGTGGCGAAGTTGAGTCTCTCTATCTTTTACAAAACATGAAAACAAATAAAGTTTAAAATATTAATTTAATACAGAAAAGTTAAAGTCCAAAAATATCATTTCAATCGGCTACTTACAGTTTTTGGTTAGTCCTGAGTTCACGCAACGAGGTTCTGAGGATTTCAGACAAAATTGCCCCTTTTATACCCAATTTTTTTATGTGGGCCCCGCCAAAATAAGGGGTCTTATCCAATGAAATCCCCTTGAAACCCATTAACAAAAATTGGCCGGAAAGAAGTGTGAAAAATTATATGAAGATTAATTATCAACATGCCAGATTTCTGCCCACATTATTTTCTAAAAAGTTGAAAAGTTCCCATTTATTTCAGTTTTTGTTGAAACTTTTGAGACAGGTATGATTAATAACTGAATCCCAGAACCTCGGTTCAGACAATTCTCATGAACTTTTTACCTTACTCATTTAAACCATTAAGTCATTATCTCTTCAAAATACATGTTTTATAATATTTTAAACAATAAAAGTTAGCAAATTCTTTATACAATTACATTACAATGTTTTTCATATATCAAAATGTAAATTTCACCTACAAAATACTTGTTTTTGGTCAATTTGTACATCATCACCCATCAATTTATCATATCCTATTGTTTTATAAAAATGACATCATATACCAATATGTTTATGAATCTATGGAAGCTAGACAAAACATCATTAATTGAATATGATAGCTTCTTGGTTTCATTCAAAGTTATACTGTCACTCAATAGACTAGACTTCCCCCTTTCTTGGAACCACTTCTTGCCATTGGCTATGTGATTTACCTGTCAAATCTACCACCAGTCCTTACTATAAAACATGTTCAATTGAATGCAAGATATCTTTATCTAAGTTTAACTTTGGCACTCTGCAACATCCATAGAAGTTTAAGATTGTGTCATTGAGTTCAAGGTAAAAGTGATAAATTACTAAATTAATAACATTTTCCATCTTAGAAGCCTAAATTAATTTTACAAAAATGAAATGGAAGTGAACAATTTCTTCTTGTTTTACATTATGATGTCTTATTCGAAAGTTGTTTATATTCACATGTCAAGAAATGATGTATCTTCAATGTCTACAGTAAACAAAGCTTCCAGTTCCCAAAACATTCTGCCGTTATGATGATATCAGCATAACAGAATTATTTATCCCAAGATTTCTGTATTTGTAAGCAATTTGTAGAGTATTATGACCTAAGTTTCAAAAATCTATGAACTAAAAATTAAACTTTGTCACATTCCTCCCACCTCAAACAATAAAAGGATCTAAGAAAAGTGCTAACTTTTTGTTTCAGTGATTACATTTTCAGTACAAATATACTAAATGAATATATTAACAAGTTTGAACATGCATATGATAATTGTCAGTCATTATACTATCGATTAATATTTGATTATAGTCCATTATATGGGTATATATTGATATATATGATTATTACTGTCCTAATTTGTCACTCTCCATGCCCCTTGGTATCTGAATTCATGAGGTCTCAGAAAAGTTGGTCATATATCAACAGAAAATCAACATAGGTGTCCCAAACATCAATTATCTCCTATGACATCCTTCTTTGTCGATTTAGAGTTATAATTTATCCATATGCTGCTTGGAGAATGATCAGGTTTGAACGTAATTCAAAATGTTCCTTTATACAATTGACATGCTTATTGTTTATAATATTCATAGCAGCACCAGTATCTAACAAGCAGTTTACATGTTGATTATATATATAAGCACTGGCAGCTTCAATCCACTTGTCTCTTTCATTTGATATAGTTCTTTATTGGATTCTACTTTCACACCAGAATAGCGGTTGTCAGGCCATTCCGGTGTGGCTCTGTGTCCATTCTTATAACTAGCTGAGTCTTGACCCCTGAATCGCTATTTCCCGTTTCCCTGTTGTCGATTCGCACATTCTTGACCAAGTTCCTTGTAGCTTCTTCGCACATGTAAAGTTTCTTTGTAGCTTCTAGGCTATTATTAACATCCTGATTTTGTCGTTTATTTTCTCGATTTGCATTCATCCTGAAGGGTCGT